AAGGTTGTTATTTCTATTATTATTATGCTATTATTATTCCTATGAGACCCTTTTAGGGGGAATGGGAGAGGTCCCAGGTCCCAGAGGCAATGCATTGCATTATTGTTATTGTTATGATGATGGTGAAATAAAAGGAAATAAAAAGAGAAAGAAGGAAGCAAACAGGGAAGGAAGAAAGGCAAAGGAAGAAAGGGGGAGGGAATGAAGGAAAGAGAGAAGGATGAAACCAAGTAGTGAAAGAAGGAAAGAAAGAAAGAAAGAGGTAGAGAAGGAAGAAAGGAGAGAAAGGGGGAGGAAAAGGGGGAAGGAATAGGTAGGTACCTCTCTTTCATAATAGTCCAGATATCTACCTCAACTTTGATAAGTTTTACTATAGGCCACAACAACGCGTGGCAGGGCACAGCTAGTTACTACTAAAGTGCTTCTGGGACTTGTTGTTGGAGTTTTCCTATTCTGGAAAGGCACATCGGAACAGCCAGGTCTTCAAATTCTTCCTGAAGACTGCCAACGTAGGGGCCTGTCTAAGTTCTTTGGCGAGGGTATTCCAGAGTCGTGGGGCCACCACAGAAAAGGCCCTGTCTCGCGTCCCCACCAGACACGCCTGCGACGCAACCGGAATCGTGAGTAGGGCCTCTCCGGATGAACGAAGTGAGCACGTGGGTTCATAAACAGAGATGCGGTCATGCAGGTAGGCAGGTCCCAAACCGTTTAGGGCTTTGTAGGTAAGCACCTGCACCTTGAATTGGGCTCGGAAAATAAATGGCAGCCAGTAGAGCTCCTTAAACAGGAGGGTTGACCTCTCTCTGTAAGGAGCACCAGTTAACATCCTGGCCACTGCCCGTTGGACAAGTTGGAATTTCCAAGCCGTTTTCAAGGGCAGCCCTACCTAGAGCGCATTACAGTAGTCCAGTCTAGAGGTGACCAAGGCATGGACCACCCTGGCCAGATCAGCCTTTGCGAGGTACAGTCGCAGCTGGCGCACAAGTCTCAATTGCGCAACGGCCCTCCTGGACACCGCCGATGCCTGAGCCTCAAACGTAAGTGATGAATCCAAGAGGACCCCAAACTGCGGACCTGTGACTTCAGGGGGAGTGTAACCCCGTCCAGCACAGGTTGCCACTCTATACCCCGATCCGGTTTACGATCGACCAGGAGGACCTCTGTCTTGTCGGCATTGATCTTCAGCTTGTTTGTCCATCCAAATAGCCACAGCGGCCAGGCACTCGTCCAGCACTCGAGGAGCCTCCTTGGAGTTAGGTGGAAAAGAGTAGTAGAGTTGTGTGTCATCTGCGTAAAGATGGCACCTAACTCCAAAGCTCCGGATGACCTCTCCCAGCGGTTTCATGTAGATGTTAAAAAGCATGGGAGACAAAATAGAGCCTTGCGGGACCCCACAGGTCAAAGGCCAGGGGTCCGAGCAGGCATCTCCCAGCTTCACCATCTGGGATCGACCCTCCAGGAAGGACCGGAACCACGACAAAACCGTGCCCCCGAGACCCATCCCAGAGAGTCGACCCAGAAGGATACCATGATCAATGGTATCGAAAGCCGCAGAGATGTCCAAAAGAACCAACAGAGTCACACTCCCCCTGTCCAGCTCTCTACGGAGGTCATCCACCAAGGTGACCAAGGCCGTCCAATGTTGCTTTTACCCTGTTAACTTCTGCGGAATTACCTTGGCTTTTGCGGAAAGCTTCTGGCTCTTTGGGACTTTGATTTTGATCCTGTTTTGGGAGACTTTGTCTTACTGCCATGAACTTTTGCTTAACCAATGCTAAAGGACTATGCTTCATGTTTTGATTTTGCTTTTTTTCCAATAAACTACAAAACCTGCAACCTTGGTGTTTTGGGCAAGGTGAATCTATCCTGAGTTGCGACGCCCATGCCTGCTGTCGATGCCTCCTTAATGTGTTCCAGATGCCCAAACGTTTCCTTTTCTGTCCACGAGATGGAACCGAGAGAGGGAGAAGGATGCAAAAGAAGGAGGAGGCAGCAGCGCATGTGAGTCTCTCTCCAAAGTCCGGCGCATTCATTCCTGGGAGGCTTGTGCACCCTTGAGCATGGCCGCTCTCCTCCTCTGGCCTTTGCTCTTGCTGGACCTCGCCACTGCGGGCAGCATGGACGCCTGCTTCTCGGCGCAAGGCCAGGCCCAGCGCTGCCTGCCGTCCTTTGAGAATGCGGCTTTTGAGAAGCGGGTGCGAGCTTCCCACACCTGTGGCTCCCCTCCGGAGGACTACTGCTCCCAAATGGGTGCCAGGGGCTCGGGAGCATCGTGCCAGCGCTGCGACGCAGGGCAGCCCTCACTGCAGCACAACGCCACGCTGCTGACCGACTTCCACGTCCCGGAGGAGCCCAGCTGGTGGCAGAGCCCCACCATGGCCTTCGGGGTCCAGCACCCCAACTCCGTCACCCTCACCCTCCACCTGGGTAAGCGGGTTGGTTGACTTCGGTCTGTATGGCCTTGTTCCAGCAGCATGCTCTCCTAACCTTTCGCCTCCATCTGTGGCTAATGGCATCTTCAGAGGATCTGTTAGAAGCGAGGCAAATTGAATATTGAGTTGCTGTGGGTTTTTTGGGCTGTATGGCCTTGTCCCAGCAGCATGCTCTCCAACCTTTCGCCTCCACCTGTGGCTAATGGCATCTTCAGAGGTTCTGTTAGAAGTGAGGCAAATGGAATATTGAGTTGCTGTGAGTTTTTTTGACTGTGTGGCCTTGTTCCAGCAGCATTTTCTCCTGACATTTCACCTGCATCTGTGGCTAATGGCATCTTCAGCATTCTTCCCATTGCATTCTCTCCTGATGTTTTGCCTGCATCTCTGACTAATGGCATCTTCAGAGGTTCTGTTGGAAATGAGGCATGTGGAATATTGGGTTGCTGTGAGTTTTCTGGGCTGTATGGTCCTGTTCCAGCAGCATTCTCTCCTGATGTTTTGCCTGCATCTGTGGCTAATGGCATCCTCACAGGTTTTGTTGGAAAGTGAGGGAAGTAGAATATTGGGTTGCTGTGAGTTTTTCAGACTGTATGGCCTTGTTCGAGCAGCATTCTCTCCTGATGTTTCTCTTGCATCTGTGGCTAATGGTATCCTCAGAGGTTCTGTTGGATGGATGGATCTACAGGAAGATAGATTGATGGATGGATGGATGGATGGATGGATGGATGGATGGATGGATGGATGGACGAATGAATAGATGGATGGATGGATGGTTAGGTGGATGGATATAGCTACAGGAAGATAGATAGATAGATAGATAGATAGATAGATAGATAGATAGATGATAGATCTACAGGAAGATAGATAGAGGCATGGATGGATGGATGGATGGATGGATGGATGGATGGTTGGATGGATGGATAGATGGATAGACGGATGGATGGATGGTTAGGTGGATAGATAGATCTACAGGAAGATGGAGGCATGGATAGATGGGTGGATGGGTGGATGGATGGATGGTTAGATGGATAGATAGATCTACAGGAAGTTAGATGGATGGATGGATTTCTGGATGGATATATATACAGGAAGATAGATAGATAGATAGATAGATAGATAGATAGATAGATAGATAGATAGATAGATAGATAGATCTACAGGAAGATAGATGGATGGGTGGATGGATGGTTAGGTGGATAGATCTACAGGAAGATAGATGGACGGATGGATAGATGGATGGATAGATCTACAGGAAGATAAAGGCATGGATGGATGGGTGGATGGGTGGATGGGTGGATAGATGGTTAGGTGGATAGATAGATCTACAGGAAGATAGATGGATGGATGGATGGATGGATGGATGGATGGATGGATGGATGGATAGATAGATAGATCTATAGGAAGATGGATGGATGGATAGATGGATGGATGGATGGATAGATAGATCTACAGGAAGATAGATGGATGGATGGATAGATGGATAGAACTACAGGAAGATAGATAGAGGCATGGATGGATGGTTGTGTGGGTAGATGGATGATGGATGGGTGGATAGATGGATAGACAGATGGATGGATGAATAGATGGACGGACGGACGGATAGATGGATGGATGGTTAGGTGGATAGATAGACCTACAGGAAGATAGATAGATAGATAGATAGATAGATAGATAGATAGATAGATAGATAGGAGGGAGAGAGGGATGACTGGATTGAGTGATCAATCAATTGATTGATCGATCAGTGGTTTCCCCCCCTCCAAAGTCTTTGGAAACCTATTGGAAAGAAAGCAAAAGTTGCATCCCAGTGCAAATGTCCCTTAGTGAGGGATGGCTCACGCCTTTTGCCTTTCGACTTGCTGTTTTCATTACTAGGAGGTGTTGTTTTGTGCCGAGGGCTAGCATCTTGTTGAATAAGGCCTAAGGAATACAGTTTGACCCCCATTCAACTGCCTGGGAGTTGTAGTGTGACACGGCCTGGGTCTCCCCAGACGACCAAGCCCTGGCTTTGGGAAGGCCGCTCTCCCGCAAAGGTCTCTCCTTTCCCAGCCGCTTGGGGTTTCCACATCTGTTCCGAATTTGCAGGGAGTCCGGAGGGGGCTTCCTGTTTGGAACTGGAGCTGCCGACACTGTCTGCGCCGTCCTGGGCGCCAAAACAAAACCAAAGCCAGATTCACGTCTCCAGCCTTTTGGGGTCATCTCCAGGCAGAAGATGTAGGCACAGGCTTCGAGGAATAGGCTAAGCACATTTAGGCTGCTGTTGGACTCCACTTTAATAAACCCAGGCGATGCAAACCTGGGAATTGTAGTTTGACAAGGCCTTTTCCAGCCAAAAAGGTCTCGCATGCTTTGGAGGGACCCCACCTTCCTGTGTCCAGTTCGAATACAGTTAATGATTCTGATTCTGAGAATTTGTATATTTTTAGGTTTTGAACTGTATCATATTGGTTTTGTATTGCTTTGAGTCTCTCCTTTTTTAGAGAGATAAAGCGGGATGCAAAGAAGAAGAGGAGGAAGAGGAGGAAGAAAAGTGGAAGAAGAAGGAAGAGAAGGAGAAAAGGAAGAAGAAGAGAGAAGAGAAGAGGAAGAACAGGAGGAGGGGAAGAAGAAAAGGAAGAAGAAGAGGGGGTGAGAGAGAACAAGAAGGAAAAGTAGAAGAAGAGGAAGAGGAGGAGGAGCAAGAGGAAGAAGGAAGAGGAAGGGAAGAGGAGGAAGAAGGAAGAAGAGAAGGAAGAAGAAGAGGGAGGAAAGGAGCAGCAAGAGTTAAGAGAAAGAAGAGGAAGATGGGGAAGAAGAAGGAAGATGGAGGAGAGGAAGGAGGAGAAGGAAAAAGAGAAGGAAGAAGTAGAGGGAGAAGAAGAGGGAGAGGAGGAAGAGAAGATGAAGAACAGGAGGAGGAAAAAGAAAAGGAAGGGGAGGAGAAGAGAAGAGGAAGAAGCAGAAGAGGTAGGAGAAGGGAAGGAAGAGAGGGAAGAAGAAGAAGAGGGAGGACGAGGAGAAGAGGGAAAGGAGAAAGAAGAGGAGGGGAGAGGAAAGGAGCAGGAAGAAGGGAGAGTTGGAGTTACAATAAGAAGGGGGAGGAGAGGAGGAAGAAGAAGAAAGAGGAGAAGGAAGAAAAGAGGAGGATAAGAAGAGGGAGGAAAGGAGCAGCAAGAGTTAGAGAAAGAAGAGGAAGATGAGGAAGAAGAAGGAAGATGGAGGAGAGGAAGATGGAGGAGAAGGCAGAAGAGAAGGAAGAAGTAGAGGGAGGAGAAGAGGGAGAGGAGGAAGAGAAGAAGGGAAGGAAGAGGAGGAAGAGAGGGAAAAAGAAGAAGAGGGAGGACGAGGAGGAGAGGGAAAGGAGGAAGAAGAGGACGGGGAGGAAAGGAGCAGGAAGAAGAAAGAGATGGAGATACAAGAAGAAGGGGAAGGAGAGGAGGAAGAAGAAGAAAGAGGAGAAGGAAGAAAAGAGGAGAAGTAGAGGGAGGAGAGGTGGAAGAAGGAAGAGGAGGAAGAGTAGGAGAAGAGGAAGAAGGAAGAGGAGGAGAAGAAGGAAGAGGAGGAGGAGAAGTGGAAGAAGGAGAAGAGGGAGGAGGAGGAGGAAGGAAGAGGAGGGGGAGAGGAAGGCCATCTGGAGAAGAATGAACAAGATCCATTTAAGAAGAACCTCAGGAAGATTATTACTGTTGTTATTGTTATTATTTATTCTTTTCTCAGTGATGACAAACGTCCTCCTTCATGATCTGCTCCAGAATCCTTCCTGGTCTTTACTGAAGTCAGTCTGACTGGACTTTGGCCATTGTTTGGCTTCTCTTTTCTTCCCTTCTTGAAGACGACAAGGACAACATTGCCTTCCTCCATTCTTATCCTAGAATTCTCCAAGATGGATCATCCAGTGGATGCTTTCAGGGTCCTCGGTGTTCTTGATCTTGAGCCCTGTGACCTTCCGAGATGCTCCTCATCTGGCTGCAATCACATCTGGGGAGCGTCTCGTTCTTTTGTCCTGTTCCTGCGTCTGTCGTCTCGTTGCATTGCCTTTCTTCACATTCCGCATTTCCTCCCGTCTAGCAAATAAATATTTTTGGTGGCTGACGACTTTGGAAAACAAGGCCAAATGAGTCAAAGCTCCCTTTCTTCCCAAAGTGTTCCTCCCGCCGTCATCTTTATTTGAAACGGATGCTTGGAAAACATGGGCTTTCTATTCCTTCTCCTCCCAGGCTCAAATGTCACTTCTCCAGTTTTGTTTGCAGCAGACCTTGATTTTTTTCCCCAACCTCAAATAGTTTCTGGCTGTTGACCTAATTTGGAGGAAGGTCTCCCGGAGGTTTCCATACAGCGGATAATGTTCCAAAAGTCCAGAGTGCGAATCTTGAGCCAATTTCCATCACACAATTTCCAAAATGGTTGCAAATTGCAGAGACTTGATTGCTTTCCTTCTGTCCATCCCACTCTCTTGCGCCGTTTATGTCTTCCATGCCTTCCTTTCCCCTGTATCTACCTGCAGCTTGAGGTGGGAGATCCTAAAGGTCATCCAGTCCACCCCCTTCTACCACAAAGGAAGACACAATTAAAGCCGTCCAGATAGATAGATAGATAGATAGATAGATAGATAGATAGATAGATAGATAGATGGATAGGGTTCCTGACCCCTAGGTTGAGAAACACTGCTCTAGATGGACAGATAGAATGATAGAATGATAGATAGATAGAATGATTGATTGATTGATTGATAGATAGATAGATAGATAGATAGATAGATAGATAGATAGTTGGATGGATAGGGTTCCTGACCCCTAGGTTGAGAAAAACTGCTCTAGATGGACAGATAGAATGATAGAATGATAGATAGATAGATAGATAGATAGATAGGTATAGGGTTCCTGACCCCTAGGTTGAGAAACACTGCTCTAGATGGACAGATAGAATGATAGATAGATAGATAGATAGATAGATAGATAGATAGATAGATAGATAGATAGAGGGTTCCTGACTCCTAGGTTGAGAAACACTGCTCTAGATGGATGGATAGATAGATAGATAGATAGATAGATAGATAGATAGATAGATAGATAGATGATAGACAGAGGGTTCCTGACCCCTAGGTTGAGAAACACTGCTCTAGATGGATGGATGGATGGATGGATAGATAGATAGATAGATAGATAGATAGATAGATAGATAGATAGATAGATAGACGGATGGGGTTCCTGATCCCTAGGTTGAGAAACACTGCTCTAGATGGGCAGATATAGATAGATAGATAGATAGATAGATAGATAGATAGATAGATAGATAGGCAGACAGATAATAGACCATTCATAGAGTTAGATAAGATCCTAAAGGTCATCCAGTCCAACCCCCTTCTGCCACAAAGGAAGACATAATCAAAACCCGATAGATTAGATAGATAGATAGATAGATAGATAGATAGATAGATAGATAGATAGATAGATAGATAGCTCATAGAGTTGGAAGGGATCCTAAAGGTCTTCCAGTCCAGCCCCTTAAGAGATAGATGGATTGATGGATGGATGGATCGATGGATAGATAGATAGATAGTTGGATGGATGGATGGATAGATAGATAGATGACTAGAGTTGGAAGGGATCCTAAAGATCATCCAGTCCCAACCTTGAGAAAGAAATGATAGGACCATGAACTTGGATGACCCTAGAGCAGTGATTCTCAATCTTCCTAATGCCGTGACCCCTTAATACAGTCTCTCATGTTGTGGTGACCCGCAACCATAACATTGTTTTTGTTGCTACTTCATAACAGTCATTTTACTACTGTTCTAAATCATAATGTAAATATCAGATATGCAAGATGTATTTTCATTCACTGGACCAAACTGGGCACAAATACCCTATGCACCCACATGTAAATGTTAGTGGGGTTGGGGGAGGATTGATTTTGTCATTTGGGAGTTGTTGTTGCTGGGATTTATAGTTCACCTGTAATCAAAGAGCATTCTGAACTCCACCAGCGATGGATTTGAACCTAATTTGCCACACAGTACTGCCATGACCAACGGAAAACACTGGAAGGGTTTGGTGGGTATTGACCTTGAGTTTGGGAGTTGTAGTTCCCCTATATCCAGAGAGCACTGTGGACTCAAACAATGATGGATCTGGACCAAACTTGGCACAAATACTCAAAATGCACAAATGTGAACACTGGTGGAACCTGGGGAAAATAGACATTGACTTTTGGGAGTTGTAGTTGCTGGGATTTATAGTTCATTACAATCAAAGAACATTCTGAACTCCACTAACGATAAAATTGGCTCAAACTTCCTATATGGAATCCCCATGACTTCTGATGGTCTTTGGTGACCCCTCTGACACCCCTTCGCAACCTACTCAGGGGTCCCGACCCCCTGGTTGAGAAACACTGCCCTAGAGCTCATCCAGTCCCAACCCCATCACCATCAAAGCCCTCTAGATAGATAGATAGATAGATAGATAGATAGATAGATAGATAGATAGATAGATAGAATCATGGAGTTCATCCAGTTTAGCCCCCTTCTGCCTTAGAGGGAAGACACCATCAAAGCCCTCTCAACAGATAGCCATCCAGCCTTTGCTTCAACTCTCCTCTGTTTCCTTTGTTTTTTAAGGGAAGGCCTATGAAATCACCTATGTGAGGCTGAAGTTCCACACCAGCCGCCCAGAGAGCTTTGCCATCTACAAGCGCAACCACATAGAGGGCCCCTGGGTCCCTTACCAGTACTACAGCGCCTCGTGCCAGGAGACCTATGGCAAACCAACGGGGGTCTTCCTGAAGCCCGGCCAAGATGAGCGGGTGGCCTTCTGCAGCGACGAGTTCAGCGACATCTCCCCGCTGAGCGGAGGGAGTGTGGCCTTCTCCACCCTGGAAGGACGGCCTAGCGCTTACAATTTCGACCAGAGCCTGCCTCTCCAGGTAAGGACATCCATCGGGAGGGATCAGATTGTGTCTTCCCTGTCTGGCAGGATGGAGTTAAATGGCTTTTGGGGATGTTTTACAATAGTATGATTCTCTTATCTCTTCCAACATGGGGATGATGTTCCTAGTGGTGGGCCTGGGTCTGTTAGCAACAGGAATGAGGGTTTGCCTGGGCCTGAGTTAAGCTCAGATGAGAAGCCTGAACTGTTTCAGGAAGATTCCCAAGGCCACATTCCTGGGAGAGGCCCTTCACAGTCTTTCTCAGAGCAAATGTCAGAAGATGATTTGTCAGGTGCAGAAGTTCGTAAGAGTCAATGAGAGTTTAGATCGAAAGCAAGGCAAGAAACAGAGTGCTCAGGTGCAAAGAAGATCAGTTTATTTACAGGAAAAGAGAGATAAACCTTTATCTGGTGGTAAGGGAAGAGAAATGCTTTCCTTTCAGTTTTGGAATCTGGAAAGGCTTCATATTGATTCATGGGAAAAATTGCTTCAGTTGGATCAACGTTGGAATTTCATGATGGTCTTGCTTTCAAGTGTTCTTAGTTTCATGTACCAAGTTTTTGCCAAGCTCCTGATTTGTGTGTTGGACTTTTCATGCTGCCTTGTTTCATGGATTCTTGTGCCTTGTTTCATGGATTCTTGTTCCAAAGGATCTTATTTTGCCTTGAAACTTATGGACTATTCTATGTTTTGGAACTTTACTGTTTTTGCTAATTTTCTTGCTTTGCCAACATATATTCTTCCATAAACTGCTGTTGCACTCCAGAGCAAGATCCCCTCAGACTTTAAACACCACATAGATGGGTAAAATAGCAAGCAGTTTAGTGAGGATAATATAAGCCAAAGCAATCAAAAGTAATCCACAGTAAAAGGTAATCCAAATGATTAGGAAGAAACGGGAACTAAAGAGAAATAGTCCAAAGAAAGTCCATGAAACTAGATACTTGATTTCAAAGGCAAATCACAGCAAAGGCACTTAAATCCATGAATCAAACAAAGACAAGAGTCCAGGAACTTGGCATGAAGAACTTAATGTGAATTCAACATTGCTCTCCTTCCAGGAATGGGTGACAGCCACCGACCTGCTCGTCTCCTTGGACCGACTCAACACTTTTGGCGACGACATCTTCCAGGACCCCAAAGTGCTGCGCTCCTACTATTACGCCATTTCCGACTTCTCCGTCGGAGGACGGTAAGCAGAGGAATCAAATGCGAACCCAGCTAATCTCCTTCCGTTTTATCAGGAATGGCCTTGATTCGTAGCCATGGCTACGGGACAACGGTCTTTCTTTTTTTGTTCAGCCGACGGCCAAAATAAAGAACGAGAAGCTGCCTTTTCAAGGGCTTCTCTGGTCAGGAATGTTGAGGTTGAGACCTGCAGATTGAATACACAAATCAACCCTTTATGGGGAGAGAAAGCATTTCCTGCTTTTATCATCAATGTTGCAAAGTTTGGAGGAGACTACAGTGCCCATGTTGCCTGGGGGTGCTGGGCGTTGGAGTCCAAAGCTCTCCCAAGCCCTAGGTTCTCAACCTTCCTGGTGCTGCGACCCCTTAATACAGAAGGCAAGATGTCCAGTGAAGGTCCTGATAGCTGTGCTGTCACACGCTGGGCCTGAAATAATGTCTGTTTACAGGACGTGCTCTCTGTATGCCCAACGGGATGCCAGGGTGCCTCAGCTGAAGGGCCCTTTAGATTTCCCAACACAAAGTTCTATTGAGGCTCAAGATAAATTCAACAAAGTTCTTTATTTGGGCTTAAATCTTCAAACAAATTGATTAAATGCTTCCTCAATCTGCTATCAAGGGCAGGCAATTGGTGGTAAAATCATAGACTCATATAATCATAGAATCACAGAGTTGGAAGAGACCTCATGGGCCATCCAGTCCAACCCCATTCTGCCAAGAAACAGGAATGTTGCATTCAAATCACCCCTGACAAATGGCCATCCAGTCTCTGTTTAAAAGCTTCCAAAGAAGAAGCCTCCACCACACTCCATGGCAGAGAGTTCCACTGCTGAACGGCTCTCACAGTCAGGAAGTTCTTCCTCGTGTTCAGATGGAATCTCCTCTCTTGTAGTTTGAAGCCATTGTTCCATTGCGTCGTAGTCTCCAAGGAAGCAGAAAACAAGCTTGCTCCCTCCTCCCTGTGGCTTCCTCTCACATATTTATACATGGCTATCATATCTCCTCTCAGCCTTCTCTTCTTCAGGCTAAACATGCCCAGCTCCTTAAGCCGCTCCTCATAGGGCTTGTTCTCCAGACCCTTGATCATTTTAAAACTGTTCCTCCAAGCTGCTTTATGGATGGCCCGAATGGTCCCTTACCAGGCAAGGTTCCTGTAGATCTGCCAAGCTGAAAGGTGTCATTTAGTTTCTCTACAAAGGCTGTAGGAACTATTTCTTTACTCCCCAGCAGAGCTGTGGATCTTTTTCTTTAACCCCCAGCAAAAGCTGTGGAACTATCCTTTTACTCCCCCAGCAGAGCTGTGAGAAGTGAAGTTTTTGTGCAGGTGGGAGAGAGAATCCCACACGTCCTGCTTTTAGGCTTCAAACAGTGAGACTGAACAAATGGTTCCCCTTTCCCTCCAAAACCTTGGGAGAAGGGGCGGGTCTAAAAACTCTGACGATGATTGGCAGGTTGCTGGACCTACGACTGCAACCTGAGGGAAGCTACCTTATTGCAAAATGCATGGCTTAAAATAGATTCATGCAAACTAGCAGTGAAAGAAAAGGAATTCAAATCTTCTGGCACTACCGTGCCAGCACAATATCCATTGCTGCTTTGGTTCTCCTGGTTGACATGCTGCTCATCTGGACCATGGATGGTCACTGGGTTGGGAATGGTGTCCAAGCACCGGTCATCAGACTGAAGCCCGAGATGGCATTGGAAAAGCCACGTGTCCTTACCCCTAATTCAGTGGTTCTCAACCTTCCTAATGCCGCAACCCCTTAATACCCCTCCTGTTGTGGTGACCCCCAACCATAACGTTATTTTGGTGCTCTTCCATAACTGTCATTTTGCTCCTGTTCTGAATCGTCATGTAAATATCTGATGTCCAGAATGTATTTTCATTCACTGGACCAAATTTGGCACAAATACCCAATGTGCCCAAATGTGAACACTGGTGGAGTTTGGGGAAAATAGACCTTGACATTTGGGAGTTGTAGTTGCTGGGATTTATAGTTCACCTACAATCAAAGAATGCTCTGAACTCCACCAACAATGGAATTGAACCAAACTTGGCACTCAGGACTGCGATGACTCAGAAAATACTGGAAGGGTTGGGTGGGCATTGAGCTTGACTTTGGGAGTTGTAGTTCTCCTACATGCGAGAGCACTGTAGACTCAAACCATGATGGATCTGGACCAAACTTGGCACGAATCCTCAATATGCCCAAATGTGAACACAGGTGGAGTTTGGGAAAAATAGACCTTGATATTTGGGAGAATAGTTGTTGAGATTTATAGTTCACCTACAATGAAAGAGCATTCTGAACTCCACCAACAATGGAATTGAACCAAACTTGTCACACAGAACTCCGGTGACGCTCAGAAAATACTGGGAGGGTTTGGTGGGCATTGACCTTGAGTTTGGGAGTTGTAGTTCTCCTACAGCCAGAGAGCACTGTGGACTCAAGTAATTATAGATCAGGACTAAACTTGGCACAAATACTCAATATGCTCAAATGCAGACATTGGTGGAGTTCAGGGAAAATAGACCTTGACATTTGGTAGCTGTAGTTGCAGGGATTTATAGTTCACCTACAATGAAAGAGCATTCTGAACTCCACCAACGATGGAATTGAACCAAACTTGTGACACAGAACTCCAATGTCCCTCAGAAAATACTGGAAGGGTTTGGTGGGCATTGACCTTGAGTATGGGAGTTGTAGTTCTCCTACATGCGAGAGCACTGTGGTCTCAAACCATGATGGATCTGGACCAAACTTGGCACAAATGCCCAAATGCCCAAATGAGGACATTGGTGGAGTTTGGGGAAAATAGACCTTGGCATTTGGGAGTTGTAGTCGCTGGGATTTATACTTCACTTACAATCAAAGAGAATTCTGAACCTCACCAACGATAGAATTGTCTTGAAGGAACTCGTTGGCGTGAGCCTCCCTCCAATCTTGCATATAGTCAGAAGAGACCCCCCAAGGGCGATCCAAGCCAACCCTATTTCCACCAGGCAGGAGGACACCATCAAAACCCTCCCGACAGATGGTCATCCAACCTCCGCTGAAAAACATCCAAAGATTGGAGCTGTAATCTAGCAAATGTGCGAGCTGGCAGTTTTGAAAGTATGCATTGCTCAGTCCTTTCTGGGAAAGCAATGACTTTTAGGATTCTTTTGAACCAACTCAAATCTAGACCCCTCTGTACATTTTCCACTCTTGTCCCAGACATCTGGGATGTGTTATCCCTTGAAAGGGCCACCCTCAATGGCAGTGATCTCCTCATAGGATTTGTAATCAAGGCCAAGGACCAAAGATGAAGGGAGATGCCTTGCAATCGCTAGCTTTGCCTATCGTTTATCCCCCGGAGGAGATAAATTATTTGTTCCTGGAGGCTAAGAGAGGACCAGAGTGACCCTCAAATAAGTCATTGCTTATTTATTCAGACACACAAACAACAGCCCACCCGCGCATTGAAAGGAAACCTGAGACAGGGCTTAGATGGCCAAAAAGGCATATCTCCATCCAACATACCCTGTTTACTCAATTCTTATGCTAAATTGCCTCTCCAAAATTAGATTCATGTAATACAGTCATCCCCGTGCTGAGCCACTCTGTGATTATTATTATTATTATTATTATTATTACATTTATTTTTTACTCTATTTATTATTGTTATTGTTGCATTTGTTATTTTTCTCTGCTATTATTGTTATTACACTTAATATTTTACTCTATATATTATTACTACATTTATTATTTCACTTTAATATTATTGTTGTTGCTACATATATTATTTTGTTTTATTTATTATTATTTTACATTTAGCATTTTACTCCTATAATTACCTTTATTATTTTACTCTATTTATTACTGTTATTATTTATTATTTTACTCTATTTATTATTATTACATTTATTATTTTAATTTAATTTTTATTATTTATTATTTTACTCTATTTATTATTATTATTACATTTATTATTTTACTTTAATATTATGTTATTATTTATCATTTTTCTCTATTTATTTTATTTATTATTATTACCTTTATTATTGTGCTCAATTATTACTGTTATTAATATATATATGTTTTTCCTTTAATATTATTATTACATTTACTCTATTATTATTGTTATTACTAGTATGATTTTACTCTATTTATTATTATTACATTTTCATTATTTTGCTCTATTATTGTTGTTATTACATTTACTATGTTTCTCTATCATTTTTCTCTATTATTATTATTATTATTATTATTATTATTACATTTCCATTATTTTACTCTATTATTATTTTTGTTACATTTACTATTTTTCTCTATTTATTATTTTTCTCTATTATTATTACTAATATTATTTTACTCTATTTATTATTGTTATTACATTTATTTCATAGAATCATAGAATCAAAGAGTTGGAAGAGACCTCATGGGCCATCCAGTCCAACCCCCTGCCAAGAAGCAGGAATATTGCATTCAAATCACCCCTGACAGATGGCCATCCAGACTCTGTTTAAAAGCTTCCAAAGAATTTATTATTATTACAGTTATTATTTTACTCTGCATTTTTATTTTACTTTAATATCATTGTTAGTATTACATTTATTATTTTACTCTATTATTATCACATTTATTTTACTCCATTATTATTATTACCTTTCTTATTTTACTTTTGATATTATTGTTATCATTACATTTATTATTATTATTATTTATCACATTTATTATTTCACTCTATTTATTAATATTATTATTTATTTTACCCTATTACTATTACATTTATTATTTCACTCTATTTATTATAATAATTATGTTTATTATTTTATTCTAGTCTTGCTTTTATTACTGCATTTCCATTATTTTACTCTGTTATTATTATTGTTATTACATTTATTATTTTGATCTCTTTATTATTATTGGAAGGAGACATAAGCACATTGACACTGAAGAAGGTTAGAATAATGGTGCAATCAGAGGTTGACAGCATTATCTTAAATTACAGTTTTATTTAAATATTAAAATTTTAACCTCTTGATGCCTCAGATAATGTAACTTTATTGGTATCGATTTTTAGTTTGAGATTTCCCAGTAGTGGCTGCATTTCCCACGCTCGACTTACACTCGAGCCAATACATTTTCCCAGTGTTTTGTGGTCAATTTAGGTGCCTCGTCTTATATTCGGGTCGGCTTATACTCGAGTATATGCGGTATGTCCCCTTTCTAGGCATTTTCTAGGTCCTCCAGCGCCACACAGTGGTCAACTTGTGCGGGGAGTGCAGTCCAAATGACCCGTACGGAGGGATGTTGGCAACCAAGATGAGGTCTCCCTTCTCTCTCTCTCTCTCCGTCTAGGTGCAAATGCAACGGCCATGCCAGCCAATGCATCCCGGACGAAGAGGGCCGCCTGGCCTGCCTTTGCCAGCACAACACCACCGGGACGGACTGCCAAATGTGTCTCCCGTTCTACCAGGACCGGCCCTGGGCCCGCGCCACCGCCGCCTCGGCCAATGAGTGCCTCCGTAAGTAGGGCTCATCAAAGGGAGCAGGGTTCGGGTTCTGGGCTGTGGAACCCGAACCCGGAACCCGATGCCTCACCTATTAACATGGGCAAAGGCGTCATATTGTATGTTATCGATTTTTATACAGGCCCTCTCCGAGTTACAGACACCTGACTTGCAAACTACTCCTAGTTAAGAACAGGGATGAGATAACAGGAAGTGAGAGGAATCATATATTATTATTATTATTATTATTATTATTATTATTATTGCACTATATAGTATTAGTATTATTACACTTCCCAAGATCCCCATTGCATTGGGCCCCGAATAAAACAATAAGTCCCAGGATCCTATCGCATTGGGCCCTCTTTAAAACTACAAGTCCCAGGAACCATATCAGGTCCTTCATGAAACTACATCTCCCAGAATCCGAATTGCATTGAGTCCTTATTCAAACTACACCTTCCAGGAACCCCCATTGCATTGGGTCCTTATTAAAACTACAAGTCACAGAATCCCCTTTCCATTGGATCCTTAGTGAAACTACATCTCCCAGGACCCCCATCACATTGGGACCTAATTGAAAGTCCCACAATCCTTTTCCGTTGGCTCTTTAATGAAACTATATTTCCCAGGACCCCCATCACATTGGGCCCCCATTAACACTACAAGTCCCAAGATCTCCATTGCACTGGTTCCTTATTGAAACTACAAGTCCCAGGATCCCATCACATTGGGTCCTTAGTGAAACTGCAAGTCACAGAATCCCCATTCCATTTGGTTCTTAGTGAAATTACATCTCCCAGGACCCCCATCGCATTGGGCTCTCATTAACACTACAAGTCCCAAGATCCCCATTGCATTGGGTCCTTATTCAAACTACACCTCTCAGGATCCCCATTTCATTGGGGATTAAAATTACAAGTCCCAGTATCTAACTGGGATGAGGTTCTTAGTGAAACTACAAGTTCCAGGATCCCCTCACATTGGGTCCTTAGTGAAACTACAAGTCCTAAGATTCCATTGCATTGGGTCCTTAGTGATACTACAAGTCCCAGGATCCAACCACACTGGATCCTTAGTGAGACTATATCTCCCAAGACCACATCACTCTGGGTCCTTAATGAAACTACGAGTCCCAGGATCCCATCACATTGGGTTCTTAGAAAAACTGCATCTCCCAAGATACCACCACACTGCATCCTTAGTGAGATGACACCTCTTTGGATCCCTCATTAAAACTACAAGTCCCAGGATCCCCAGTGCATTGGGTCCTTAGTGAAACTACATCTCCCTTGCCCAGTGTAGAAGATGCATCTGGAGAGGGCTGCCTCCCAACCGGGCCTCTCCCTGCTTCCCTTGCAGCCTGCAATTGTTCCGGGCGGTCCGAGGAGTGTGTCTTTGACCGGGAGCTGTTCCGCCGCACGGGCCGCGCGGGCCGATGCCAAAACTGTTGGGGCAACACGGATGGGCCGCACTGCGAGCGCTGCCTCCCCAATTACTATCGCTGGGATGGACAGGCGGCGTGCCAACCCTGCAACTGCAACCCCGCCGGTAAGCAAAAGGCCGTTTGGAGATCGATAGAGAAACCGGGACATTTCGGAAACAATTGAGGAATGGGAAGGCAGAGGGTTAATTACAGGAAGAGACCCCAAAGGGCCACCCAGTCTGATCACCTTTTGCCAGGCAGGAAGGCACCACCTGATCCCTCCCGACAGATGGCCATCATCAATCATTGACCATGGATATGATAGATATGATTGAGAGAGATTGGATGGATGGATGAAATACTTCTAGAGTTGGAAGTGACCCTCAAGATGAGTGAGTCCAATCTCCTTTTTCCATAGAGGAAGACATCATCAAAGTTCTCCTGATAGATGGCCATCATCAATAGATGATCATGGATATGATAGATATGATTGAGAGAGATTGGATGGATGGATTGATGAAAGAATCCTAGAGTTGGAAGTGACCCTCAAGATCAGTGAGTCCAACCTTCTTTTTCCATAGAGGAAGACATAATCAAAGTTCTCCCAACAGATGGTCACCATCATTAGATGACCATGGATATGATAGATATGATTGAGAGAGATTGGATGGATTAATGGATGAAAGAATCCTAGGGTTGGAAATGACCCTCAAGATCAGTGAGTCCGACCTTCTTTTCCCATAGAAGAAGACATACTCAAAGCTCTCCTGATAGATGGCCATCATCAATAGATGACTATGTATGTGATAGATATGATAGAGAGAGATTGGATGGATGGTTGGATGAAAGAATCCTAGAGTTGGAAGCGACCCTCAAGATCAGTGAGTCCAACCTCCTTTTCCCATAGAGGAAGACATAATCAAAGCTCTCCAACAGATGGCCATCAGCATTAGATGACCATGGATATGATAGATATGATTGAGAGAGATTGGATGGATGGATGAAAGACTCCTAGAGTTGGAAGTGACCCTCAAGATCAGTGAGTCCAACCTCCTTTTCCCATAGAAGAAGACATACTCAAAGCTCTCCTGATAGATGGCCATCATCAATAGATGACCATGTATGTGATAGATATGATAGAGATTGGATGGATGGTTGGATGAAAGAATCCTAGAGTTGGAAGTGACCCTCAAGGTCATCCGGTCCAACCTCCTTTTCCCATAGAGGAAGATATAATCAAAGCTCTCCCAACAGATGGCCATCATCAATAGATGACCATGGATATGATAGATATGATAGAGAGAGATTGGATGGATGGATGAAAGACTCCTAGAGTTGGAAGCGACCCTCAAGGTCATCCAGTCCAATCTCCTATTCCCATAGAGGAAGACATACTCAAAGCTCACCTGATAGATGGCCATCATCAATAGATGACCATGTATGTGATAGATATGATAGAGATTGGATGGATGGATGGATGAAAGAATCGTAGAGTTGGAAGTGACCCTCAAGGTCAGTGAGTCCAACCTTCATTTTCCATAGAGGATGACATCATCAAAGCTCTCCTGACAGATGGCCATCATCAATAGATGATCATGGATATGATAGATATGATTGAGAGAGAGTGGATGGATGAATGGATGGATGAAAGAATCCTGGAGTTGGAAGTGACCCTCAAGGTCATCCAGTCCATATGATAGGTATGATCGAGAGAGATTGGATGGATGGATGATAGAATCCTAGAGTTGGAAGCGACCCTCAAGGTCATCCAGTCCAAACTCCTTTTCCCATAGAGGAAGACATCATCAAAGCTCTCCTGACAGATGGCCATCATCAATAGATAACAGAGGATATGGTTGATATGACTGAGAGAGATTGGATGGATGGATGATAGAATCCTAGAGTTGGAAGCGACCTTCAAGGTCATCCAGTCCAACTTCCTTTTCCCATAGAGGAAGACATCATCAAAGCTCTCCCAACAGATGGCCATTCTCAATAGATGACCATGGATATGATAGATATGATTGAGAGAGATTGGATGGATGGATGAAAGACTCCTAGAGTTGGAAGTGACCCTCAAGATCAGTGAGTTCAACCTCCTTTTTCCATAGAGGAAGACATCAAATCTCTCCTGATAGATGGCCTCACCAGATTCTGAGGCAATATATTCCACCAGAATATACCATTGGGTCCCTCTATTTTTCCTCAACGCATGCTCTTGTTCCATCAGGTTCCTTGAACCCCCAATGCGACAGTTCAGGGGCCTGCGAGTGCAAAGAAGGCGTCACCGGATGGAAGTGCGAACGCTGCCGCGATGGTTTCCATTCCCTCGGAGAAGGCGGGTGCAGGTGAGAAGTCCCATTTGTGATGCTGGCCCCCCTCTTTCCTTTCCTTCCTTGGATGAGCTGGTCATCATTGTCTATTTTTTCCAACTTGTTGTAGTTCAGCCTGTGATTGTGTCAGATGTTCATGATGGAAATGGGGATGAGGGTTTTCCTGGGCCTGAGTTAATCCCAGGCGAGTGTTTCTCCTGCAGATTCACAAGGCCACATTCCTGGGAGAGGCCCTCATCCGTCTTTCTCTGAGAAACAACTATATTCTGAGGATGATTTGTCAAGTGCAGAATTTAATGAGAGTGAAGATGGAAAGCAAGACTTTTGTAAACAGAGACAAAGTTCTCAGGCACCATGAAGGTCAATTCCTCTGCAGGAAAAGAGAGATAAGACACTCTTACCTGCTTGTAAAGGCAAGAGAAATGCTTTCCTTTCGGTTCAGGGGTCAGGAAAAGCTTTATATTGATACAAGGGGAAGAGTTAGCTCAGTCTCATCAATGTTGAATCTTCATGACAGTTTTGTTTCCAGGTGTTCCTAGTTTCATGTTCCAAGTTTTACCAGGCTCCTGATCTGTGTATTGGATTTCCATGCTGCCTTGTTCTATGGATTTTGTACCCTTAGATGGCCAAAAAGGCACATCTCCATCCAATTGTTTACTCAATTCTTATGTTAAATTGCCTCTCCAAAATTAGATTCACATAATACAGTCATCTCCGTGCTGACCCATTCTGTGATTATTATTATTATTTTTATTACATTTATTATTTTACTCTATTTATTATTGTTATTGTTAGATTTGTTATTTTTCCCTCTGTTATTATTATTACATTTAATATTTTACTCTATTATTATTATTACATGTATTATTTTAGTTAAATATTATTGTTATTACTACGTACATTTATTATTTTACTTTATTATTTGGTTGTTGTAGGTTTTTTCGGGCTATATGGCCATGGTCTAGAGGCATTCCTCTATTCCAATGTCTCTAGACCATGGCCATATAGCCCGAAAAAACCTACAACAACCCAGGCCATGAAAGCCTTCGACAATATATTTTATTATTATTGCTACATTTTAGTATTTTACTCTGTTATTATTACATTTATTATTTTACTCTATGTATTATTGCATTCATTATATTACTTCATTATTATTATTACATTTATTATTTTGCTCTATTTATTGTTACTGCTATTACATTTATTATTTTACCCAATTTATTATTATTACATTTATTATTTTGCTCTATTCATTATTATTACATTTATTATTTTACTTAATATTATTGTTATTATTACATGTATTATTTTACTTTATTTATTATTGTTACATTTTAATATTTTACTCTATCATTACATTTATTATTTTACTCTATTCATTATTATTATTACATTTAATTTTTTACTCTATGTATTATTATTGTATTCATTATATTACTTTAATATTATTGTATTACATTTATTATTTTACTCTATTCATTATTATTGCATTCATTATATTACTTTAATATTATTGTATTACATTTATTATTTTACTCTATTCATTATTATTAATACATTTATTATTTTACTTTACTACTATTATGATTAAATGCATTCTTTTACTCTATTTATTATTGTTATTACATTTATTATTTTACTCTATTTGCACCTTTGAATCTTGTGTTTTACCTTGTGCCTTGAAGCTCATTGACTATCTTTGGATTATACTATTTTTACCATTTTTACTGCTTTGCCTACTTATATTCTTCAATAAACTGCTTGCTGATTTTACCAAGCTGGTGTGGTGTTTAAAGTCAGAGGTGTTCATGCTCTGGAGTATGACACAATTCCTTGTTTGCAGACCCTGCACTTGTGACCCGGCCGGCAGCAACGGGACCTGTGATCCCAACACCGGACGCTGCCCTTGCAAGGCGAAGGCGGAGGGATACCTGTGCGACAGGTGAGCAAAATACCTGCTCTATCATCCTCACTGGGACCTTAAGGAGGTCTTGTTGCCAAAAGATTAGGCCAAATTCATACCTGAGTTTTTCTGAAATCTGGGCTGAGTCCTGTTTCTGGGTAAGCGAGGGAGGGAGGGAGTGGAGGCCGCAAAGGTGGAAGCAGCTCTACTGTATATAGTGTCCCTACTTCGCGGATTTTCACTTACTGCTGGTGCTCCTGGAACGTAACACCCACGAAAAGTGAGGGAACACTGTAATAGCAACAGCAAGGTCATTGGCAAGTTGTGTTCAGTGGAAGGCTGCATTGCCTTTGCCAGGGGCTGAGAGACCATCAGGGTCCCTGTTTTTCCATTTTCCCAGCCTTCCCTTTCTTGCCCAGGTGCCAACCAGGAAGCTTCAATTTGCAACTACATAACCCATCAGGCTGCACCAGCTGCTTCTGCTATGGCCACGCGGCGGCCTGCACAGCGGCTCCCGGGTACGAAGTCCACGAGATCGTCTCCCGTTTCGATCAAGGTAGAAAGTGGTTTCCATTTTCCCCTTGACCCTAATTCAGCATTATTATTGTTGTTGTTGTTGTTGTTGTTGTTGTTGTTGTTTGAAACACAACAAGATGAGTCCACAGCAGACCCTCTGCTGGCTGTTGTATTGGATCACACATCGGACACTTCCCAAGTGTCTAGGACTGTTGTTTTTGTTGTTATTATTATTATTATTATTATTATTATTATTATTATTATTAACCCTGTTCTTAACTAGGAGTCGTTTGTAAGCCAGATGTTTGTAACCTGGGTACGGCCTGTATTTTCTTTTCCCAGACCTGGATGGATGGAGCGTTGAAACGCCAGAAGGGAATGAGGTTCTCCTGGACTGCGATGGAGGCGAGAGATTCCTGGGGAAACAGGGAGAAGGTTCCCTTGTGTTTTGGGCTCCAGGTAAGGCTTTGAAGGTCTGCCTTTGCAAGACCTAAGCAGAGCAGTTGGGGGTCTCCTTCCTTCCAAACCTCACATTTTCCTCTTTTCTTTTAGAGCAATTTCTGGGTGATCGTCGGCTCAGTTACGGCCAGCCGCTATCCCTGTCCTTTTGCTTTCGGGGTGCCATGGATGAATCTCCCTTGCTCTCCTTTCAGCTGGTTTTGGAAGGAAACGGGGCCAACGCGAAGAAGGTCCACCAGAAATCCTTCAGGAACGGCTCCTTCTGCGAAGAACAGACCTTCTGGTGAGCCTTCCTTTCACGTCTTGGCAAGAAGGCCATCCGTTTCAAACACATACGTCAGAAACAGACTAAGCGGCCAGTTCAGTTCCTTTTCTTTCTCCCTCCCCCCTTCCTTCCCTCTTTTTCCTTCCATCCTTTTCCCCTTCCTTCCTTCCTTCCTCCCTTCCTTCCTTCCTTCCTTCCTTCCTTCCTTCCTTCCTTCCTTCCTTCCTTCCTTCCTTCCTTCCTTCCCCTTTCTTCCTCCTTCCTTTTTTCTCCTCCTTCCCTTCCTTCCTTCCTCCTTCCTTCCTTCTCTCTTTACTTCCTTTTCTCCCTCTTTTTCCTTCCTTCTGCCCTTTCTTCCTCCCTCCCTTCCCTCTTTCCCTCTTTTCTTCATTACCTCTTTCCTTACATCACTCTTTCCTCCCTTTTCGTCTTCTTCCCTCCTTTCCTATTTCCTTCCTTCCCTCTTTACTTCCTTTTCCCCTTCATTTCTCCCTCCCTCCTTTCTTCCCTCTTTTTTCTTCCTTCCTTTTTCCCTTTCTTCCTCCCTCCCTCGCTTTCCTCTTTTCTTCCTTCCTTCATTCCCCTTTCCTTTCTTCTCTCTTCCCTCACTTTTTAAATTAATTCCTTCCTTTTCCCTTCCTTCCTTTCCTTTCCTTCCTCCCTCCTCTCTCTCTTCCTTTTCCTTCTTTTCTTCCTCTCTCCTTCCCGCTTTTCTTTCTTTTCCCTTTCTTCTTCTCCCCTCTCACTTTTCTTCCTTCCCTCCTTTCTTCTTTCTTGCTTTCCCTCATCATCCTTCTTCCCTTTCTTCTTCCTTCCGTTCTCCTTTTCCTTCCTTACTTCATTGACCCTTTCCTTCATTCTCTCTTCCCTCATTTTTCTTATTCATTCCCTCCTTTCCTCTTTTCTTCCCTTTTTTCTTCCTTCCTTCATCCCCCTCTCCTTCCTTCTCTTCCCTCACCTTTCTTATTCATTTCTCTTTCCTTCACTTTCTTCTTTTCTTCCTCCTTCCTTCCTCCCACCTCCTTTTCCTTTCCTTTTCCTTCCATTCCCTTTCCTTCTCTTCTCTCCTTTCCTCTTTCCTTCAAACTACAAGAAAGGAGTTTCCCCCTGAACATGGGGAAGAACTTCCTGACTATGAGAGCTGTTCAGCAGTGGAACTCTCTGCCCCTGAGTGTGGTGGAGGCTCCTTCTTTGGAGGATTTTAAACAGAGGCTGGATGGCCATCTGTTGGGAGTGCTTTGAATGTGATTTTCCTGCTTCTTGGCAATGGGTTGGACTGAATTGCCCACCAGACCCCAAAGGCCATCCAGTCCAATTCTATGGCGGTGGCAGCACAATCGAAACACTTCCAACAGATGGAAGTGTCTGCTTAATTTGGTGCTACTGGTTCCAGTTCTGTATTCCTTTCTTCCAGGTTGCACGAGGCGATGGAAGAGCTTCATCCTGTCCTCTCCACTTTCCAATTCCAGCACTTGCTCTCCAATCTGACGGCGCTTCGAATCCAGATGGGAAGCGACCATGGATTGGGTAAGACATTGCTGGAGATGGGGAGGCCTTGATGGTGCTTTCCCTAGATAATGGCAGAAGGGAGTTGGACTGGATGGTCCTTGGAGGTCTCTTCCAACTCTAGGATTCTATTATTATTATTATTATTATTAAGCAGAGACTGAATGGCTATCTGTCAGGAGGGCTTTGATTGTGCTTTTCCTGCCTGGCTGAAGGGGGTTGGCTTAGATGGCTCTTGGATATGTTTTCTAACTCTAGGATTCTGTTGTTATTATTATTAAGCAAGAGCTGGATGGCCATCTGTCAGGAGTGCTTTGATTGTGCTTTTCCTGCCTAGCAGAAAAGGTTTGGCCCGGATGGCCCTTGGAGGTCTCTTCCAACTCTAGGATCCTATTATTATTATTCTTAAGCAAGAGCTGGATGGCCATCTGTCAGGGATGCTTTGATTGTGCTTTTCCTGCCTGGCAGAAGAGGGTTGAACTAGATGGCCCTTGGAGGTCTCTTCCAACACTAGGATCCTATTATTATTAATAATATTAATAATAATATTATTATTCATAAGCAGAGGCTGAATGGCCATCTGTCAGGAGGGCTTTGATTGTGCTTTTCCTGCCTGGCAGAAGGGGGTTGGACTGGATGGCCCTTGGAGGTCTCTTCCAACTGTAGGGTCCTATTATTATTAATAATAATAATAATAATAATAATAATAACAATAATATTCATAAGCAGAGGCTGAATAGCCATCTGTCAGGAGGGTTTTGATTGTGCTTTTCCTGCCGGGCAGAAGGGGGTTGGACTGGATGGCCTTGGGGGGGTCTCTTCCAATTCTAGGTACTAATAATAATAATAATAATAATAATAATGTATTTATTTATTTACAGTATTTATATTCCACCCTTCTCATCCCGAAGGGGACTCAGGGCAGATCACAATGCACACATTACACAGCAAACATTCAATGCTGTTTTAGACACACAAGACAGACAGAGGTATTTTGGCATTTTTCCAATTTCAGCGCCTGGAGGTTATGCCCGATTCCAGCCACATGGGGTGCTGTCGCTTCATCCCCAATGACATTCAGTCATTTTGGTCGTATTTCCTCCTTGTTTGTTGATCGCTGGCATTTTTATGGTGCCATAAAATACCTCCCTAATTTCTCTACTCACAGCTCAGCTGTTTTCGAAAAAGTAAGCTAGGCTTAACAGTCGGGTGCTCAATCTGACTCGGGCTTCGAACATTCCACCTTCCAGTTGGCAGTGATTTATTGCTTCTGGCGATTAACCAGCTGTGCTACAGCCTGGCAGAGGATGGATGGCCATCTGTCCGGAGGTCTTTGATTGTGTCTTTTGATTGTGGCTGGACTGGATGGCCTTTGGGAGTCCCTTCCAACTCCAAGAGTCTATGGCACGTTCTTCAACTGACAGTGACACCTCTTCCTTTTTCTTTTCCAGGCCGCATTTCCTTGACGGAGGTCCGCCTGGTCTCTGCCCGTCCGGGCCTCTCCCTTCCGGCTTCCTGGGTGGAAGAGTGCCTCTGTCCCAAGGGTTTCGTGGGCCAGTTCTGCGAGGCCTGCGCCCCAGGCTTCAGGCGGGAGGTTCCCTTTGGCGGCCCCTTCGCCCACTGCGTACCTTGTTCCTGCAACCAACATGGCCGCTGCGATCCTGACTCGGGTGAGCCCACGTTTCTGCCACCTAACTCTTTTGCAAAGAGAGTCCCACTTCACCCTCTGCCTTCCCATTTTTCCAGTTGCTTTTCAAATGTCCTGGTTTCTTTCTCCTGCTTCCTTCCAAGGCTGCAGACAGAGCCGTTTGCTTGAGATTTCTGCAGATTGCATGCATCTGTCCCAATGGCACCCACTCTGACTCCTTTTTTTTACTACCGTATAATAATGATTGCAACACGATGCCCTTGATGGTTCATAAGCTGCAGAGCAAAATGCTGAATGGATGCGGTTTGTGACAGCTGAGAAACATTTGAAGTTGATCCAAGATGTTCCCATTTCTGGCTCCAATTTATTGCTGGTTTTGTGCAAGGGAACCTCTTCTTTTATCTGCAAAATAGCTCATTTTGACAATATATATACAAGAACCATGGGTTTGGTGAATTGCCTTGGCTTGGGAAATGGCCAGAGACAGACAGACAGACAGACAGATAGATAATATAAATGTAAATTTGGCTAGTATATTTGTATACCCTTCCTTCCTTCCTCCTTCTGATTTTGGCCAGTGTATTTCTGTATACTTTCTTCTTTTCTCCTTCCTTCCATCCTTCCTTGTGATTTTGGCCAATATATTTCTATATCTTTTCTCCTTTTCTCCTTCCTTCCTCCCTCCCTCCCTTCTGATTTGGCTAGTGTATTTCTATATCTTTTCTTCTTTTCTCCTTCCTTCCTTCCTTCCTTCCTTCCTTCCTTCCTTCCTTCCTTCCTTCCTTCCTTCCTTTCCTTCCACCTTTCATCCTTCCCTTTTGTCTTTCCTCCTTCCTTCCTTCCTTCCTTCCTTCCTTCCGATTTGGCTAGTGTATTTCTATATCTTTTCTTCTTTTCTCCTTCCTTCCTTCCTTCCTTCCTTCCTTCCTTCCTTCCTTCCTTCCTTCCTTCCTTCCTTTCCTTCCTCCTGATTTGGTTAGTGTATTTCTACATCTTTTCTTCTTTTCTCCTTCCTTCCTTCCTTCTGATTTGGCTAGTGTATTTCTATATCTTTTCTTCTTTTCTCCTTCCTTCCCTCCTTCCTTTCCTTCCTTCTTCCTTCCTTCCTCCCTCTAGTCTTCCTTCCTTCCTTTTCTCCTTCCTTCCTTCCTTCCTTCCTTCCTTCCTTCCTTCCTTCCTTCCTTCTTTCCTTCCTTCCTTCCTTCCTTCCTTCCTTCCTTCCGATTTGGCTAGTGTATTTCTATATCTTTTCTTCTTTCTCTTTCCTTCCTTCCTTCCTTCCTTCCTTCCTTCCTTCCTTCCTTCCTTCCTCCCTCCCTCCCTCCCTCCCTCCCTCCCCCTCCCTTCCCCCTGATTTGGTTAGTGTATTTCTACATCTTTTTTCTTTTCTCCTTCCTTCCTTCCTTCTGCTTTGGCTAGTGTATTTCTATATCTTTTCTTCTTTTCTCCTTCCTTCCTTCCTTCCTTCCTTCCTTCCTTCCTTCTTCCTTCCTTCCTTTCCTATATCTTTTCTCCTTTTCTCCTTTCTTCCTTCCTTCTTTCTTCTTTTCCTTTTCCTTCCTTCCGTCCTTTTTTCTTTCCTCCTTCTCTTCTCTCCCTTATTTTCCCTTCCTTCCTTCCTTCCTTCCTTCCTTCCTTCCTTCCTTCCTTCCTTCCTTCTTCCTTCCTTCTTCCTTTTCCTCCTTTTCTCCTTCCTTCCTTCATTCCTCCTTCTTCTTTCCTTTCTTTTCTTCTTTCTCCTTCCTTCCTCTTTCCTTCCTTCCTTCCTTCCTTCTTTCCTTCCTTCCTTCCTTCCTTCCTTCCTTCCTTCCTTCTGATTTGGCTAGTGTATTTCTATATCTTTTCTCCTTTTCTCCTTCTGTGTTTGGCCAGTGTATTTCAGTATCATTTATTTTCTCCTTCCTGCCTTCTTCCCTCCCTCCCTTCCTTCTTTCCTTCTGATTTTGGCCAGCGTATTTCTATATCGTTTCTTCTTTTCTCCTCCTTCCTTCCTCCCTCCCTTCCTTCCTTCCTTCCTTCCTTCCTTCCTTCCTTCCTTCCTTCCTTCCTTCCTTCCTTCCTTCCGAGTTTGGCCAGTGTATTTCTGTATCATTTCTTTTCTCCCTCCCTCCCTCCCTCCCTCCTTCCCTCCCTCCTTCCCTCCCTTCCTTCTGATTTTGGCCAGTGTATTTCTGTATACTTCCTCCTTTGCTCCTTCCTTCCTTCCTTCCTTCCTTCCTTCCTTCCTTCCTTCCTTCCTCCTTCCTTCCTTCCTTTTTTTCTTCCTCCTTCCTTCCTTCCTTCTCCTTTCGCTTCCTTTTTCCCTTCCTTCCTTCTTTCTTTTCTCCTTCCTTCCTTCCTTCCTTCCTTCCTTCCTTCCTTCCTTCCTTCCTTCCTTCCTCCCTCCCTTCCTCCTTCCTTCCTTCATTTCTCTCTTCCTTCCTTCTTTCCCTTTTGATTTTGGCCAGTGTATTTCTATATCCCTCCTTCCCTCCTTTATCTTTTCTCTTGTTTTGGACCTATTTCCCTATTTCTTCTTCTTCCCCTCCCTTCCTCCTGTGTTTGGCCCACCCATTTTTCTAGTCCTTCTCCCTCCCATGCTTCTTTCCTTCCTTTGTAGGCCTCTGCCATTGCCTTGACCACACGGAGGGCCCATCCTGCGAGCACTGTGCCCCAGGCTTCTTCGGCAACCCTTTCCGCGGACGACCGGACGACTGCCAGCCTTGCCCTTGCCCCGGACAGAGCCCTTGCGCCGCCCTGCCATCCAGCGGGGAGCTGGTCTGCACCCGCTGCCCTCCGGGACTCAGAGGTGGGACACAACCCTTCCCCTTTCTGACGACCCCTTTCTGAGACCCAACTCTCGTGGAGTCTAATTTAGTGCTAGGACTGCAGTTAAAGAGGAACCGTGCCTGGCGAGCCATATGCGAAACACCAGATAGGTCAGGACAGAGAAACCAACTCGCCAAGTTGAAGACAAGCAACCGAGGTTTATTTCAATTGGGCCAAAAAGGGATGCACGTACAGCAAATTTGCTTCAAAATGGACAAGTGGCTGAGGGGGGAAAGGACAGGGCCTGAGGCTTGGAATTGTCGGAGTTGGAGTCCAAAACACCATGAGGGAGGGCTGAAGCTGGCCCATGCCTGCTCTATAGTCAGTGACTAAAATAAAGGAGATCTATGAATGCGTGTATTCTGAGCTTCTGTTTTGCAAGCAGCCACCTCTCAGCTTTCAGTGAACCATATACAGTGTTCCCTTGCTACTTTGCGGTTCACCTTTTGCGGACTTGCTGTTTTGTGGTTTTTCTTTAAAAATATGAATTTAAAATACTTAAAACAAGTAGCAAGGGAACACTTAACAGAAAGGCTCCGCCAATGTGTCTGAGAGAGAGAGAGAGAGATACCACATCACCGCCTGGGCCCCCTCCGAGGCTCTTCTTCTTCCCTCCTTGCCCTCTTTACCTTCCTCCTCCTCTTCCTCGATGCCTCCCTCAGCACAGCTTGTGCCCCGCAATGGCTCTGCCGGCTCCACAATCGCGCCACAGCTGTTGCTGTTACAGGAGTAGCGGCAGAGGCACTGTGGCGAGGGAGGGAGACCCTCTTTACTCTCTTATACTGATTCAGTTTCTTCTTTTGTATTGGCTGGGACTTTCTGTGTGCTGTTTAACCTTTGTACTTTATATCACAGGCAATGAGACACTCTTGTGTATAACTAAGTAACACAGTTTATTTATAACTTCTGGCTCCAACGCTTGTGGTTACATTTGTGTTTTGGTGAAATCTTGAGGCTTACAGTCAGTATCATTTACTTGGTTTACTTTTCTGAATAGACTTTAAATGTTTCACATTCACAAACATGTTACTTGCTTTACACACTCTTGGCTGAATTATATTCTGACTAAAGCAACACTGGCTTTCTTTATGTTCCATAAAACTCGAGCTCTATTTAACTAACTGCTTCTTTATATCAGAAGTCTTTAACACATCTTCATAACTGCTTATTTCTAACAGGCACTCAAAAACCAACTATCCCTTTCACAAACAGATTCCTAACTGTCATTTTCAAACTCCCACACTCTAACCACCTCTTTAAAAACCTTGGCTCCGCCCCTTTGGAATGTTCAGCTCTGCTCTCCCCAACTGTCATTTTGGCCTAGCAGACTTTTCAAATCCTGGGCCTACGCTAACCTGCATATGACCAATTGGCTTCACATATGCAAATGAATCCTATCTCTGCTGTTGCTACCCCGTCTGTGCCTATTCTTCCCTATCTGCCATATGTAAACATAGAGCTATACACCAAAACTTTAACATAGAGTAGCAATTTCACTACAGGCACCTTGTTGCCATCTAGGCCTCTTGCCATTGCTTGAGCCCTGCAACGCCTCTGCCGCCTCCTCAATCATGCCGCGGCTGCTGCTGCTCAATTGCTCCAGAAGCAGATAGTCCCAGTGGAGGAGGCATCGCGGGGCCCAAGTGGCATCAAGAGGCCCAGGCGGCAATGAAGTGCTTCTTCTGCCACTTCTGGAGCAGCAGTCACCGCAATGTGATTGAGGAGGAGGCGGAGGTGGCGTGGAGCCCAAACCGCAGCAAGGGGCCCTCTTCTGCCGCTTCTGGAGTAGCAGTAGCCGCAGTGCCCGGACCGGGCCTGTTGGTGGGAAAGGAGGCGCCGAGGAGGAGGAGGAAGAAGGTAAAGAGGATGAGGAGAGAAGAAAAGACACCTCAGGAGCGAAAAAAGAAGAGCCGGGGACGGGGTCCCCTACTTCGCGGAATTTCACTTATCGCGGGCGGTCCTGGAACGTAACACCCATGATAATTGAGGGAACACTGTAGCTAGACAAACAGGTTTGGGTTTAGCAGGTATGCCAGGAAATTGCCCAGCTCTGCATATACAAGAATAATGGGTTTGGTGAATTGCCTTGGCTTGGGAAATGGCCAGAGGGGTTTGCTTGCCATTCCTGTCCAGGAGGTGAATATGAAATAGATACATTATACAGACAAATTAAAAAGTTGTATAGGAAGTCATGAAGAATAGATACAGTCTATTAAAAGGTTGGATATTATAGCTGCCACTGGTTTGATCTTGATCTTCTCATGTTTTGAGCCTGCACAAGTTTGGAAAAGGTCTTTTTAGAAGGGGATGAAAACAATATACATTTATTTCTGAGTCCTTGGTTTGGGTTTATCAGGTCTGGGTTTATCAGGGATGGCAGGAAATTGCCCATCTCTGCATATACAAAAACAATTTATTTATTTACTATATTTATACCCCACTCTTCTCACCCTGAAGGGAACTCAGAGCGGATTTGGTGATTTGCCTTGGCTTGGGAAATGGCCAGAGGGGTTTGCCCGCCCTTCATGTCCAGGAAGTGGGCTGATCTGGTTATTATTTTGGTAAAGAAGTGTATACATTTTATACATCTATGAAGTAGATACAGTATACAGAAAGAGAAAAGTGATATAGGAAGTCATGAAGAATAGATACAGTCTATTAATGGGTTCGATATGATAGCTGTTCCTGGTTTGGTCTTCATCTTCTGATGTTTTGAGCCTGCACAAGTTTGACAAGGGTCTTTTTAGAATGGGGAGAAAATAATATATATTTATTTCTGAGCCCTTGTGAGATATAAATTCGCCTTCCTCCCCATCCAGGGAGACGCTGTGAACTTTGCGATGACGGCTTCTTCGGGGACCCCTTGGGTCAGAACGGGCCCCTCCGTCCTTGCCAGCCCTGCCAGTGCAATGGCAATGTGGATCCCAACGCTGTGGGCAACTGCGATTCGCACTCAGGGCGGTGCCTCCGCTGTCTGCACAACACGACTGGAGAACAGTGCCAGAGGTGCAAAGAAGGCTTCTACGGCGATCCCTTGGCTACCGACCCAGCCGCAAAGTGCAGCCGTGAGTCCCCAGGATGACCCAATTGCCTTCCCAAATTGGCTTTAAAATGTCCCGCTTCCCTTCACTAATATTAATAATAATACATCACACTTGGGACGTGTTTGACTTCTGATTTTGTGATACGAAATCCAGCATATAGATATCATTTGCTGTGACACACTGTGGTTTTGTGTCAGTAAAATAATAATAATAATAATAATAATAATAATAATAATAATAATAATAATAGCGTGGACCATGTTATTCCCAACCAACCTAATTTTTGAGGAATTAAGCTTCCAAAGCCTTTGGATGGTTGCTCTTTTGGTACTTTGGAAACCACCCATTTCATTTGACATCATTTGCGAACTTCTTCATTGACTGGATGGAAAAAAATTGCAATTTTGAGCTTAAAAATACAAATAGAAATAAAATGTTTACCTCAGTCACTTGATCGATTTTATATTTTGTCATTACCCCCAAAATGATCTATGACTCTGAATGTAAAAAATACATATTTCGTCTTGCTTCCTAGCTTGTCAATGCGACGCCAGGGGTTCCGTCCACGGGCCGGATGTATGCGACCCGGTGAGTGGTCAGTGTCCTTGCCTTGCTTCTGTGACAGGAAGGGATTGCAACCGGTGTCGAGACGAGTATTTCGATCTGCAGCCAAAAACAGGGTGCAAACGGTAATTAAATATTGTTGTTCAGCCTGTGATTGTGTCTGATGTTCCTGTTGATGTTCGAGATGGGAATGGTGATAGTGTTCCTGTTAATGTTCATGATGGGAATGGGGATGATGTTCCTGTTGATGTTCATGATGGGAATGGGGATGGTGTTCCCGTTGATGTTCATGATGGGAATGGGGATGATGTTCCTGTTGATGTTCGTGATGGGAATGGTGATAGTGTTCCTGTTAATGTTCATGATGGGAATGGGGATGATGTTCCTGTTGATGTTCATGATGGGAATGGGGATGGTGTTCCCGTTGATGTTCATGATGGGAATGGGGATGATGTTCCTGTTGATGTTCGTGATGGGAATGGTGATAGTGTTCCTGTTAATGTTCATGATGGGAATGGGGATGATGTTCCTGTTGATGTTCATGATGGGAATGGGGATGGTGTTCCCGTTGATGTTCATGATGGGAATGGGGATGATGTTCCTGTTGATGTTCGTGATGGGAATGGTGATAGTGTTCCTGTTAATGTTCATGATGGGAATGGGGATGATGTTCCTGTTGATGTTCATGATGGGAATGGGGATGGTGTTCCCGTTGATGTTCATGATGGGAATGGGGATGATGTTCCTGTTGATGTTCGTGATGGGGATGGGGATGGTGTTCCTGTTGATGTTCATGGTGGGAATGGGGATGATGTTCCTGTTGATGTTCGTGATGGGGATGGGAATGGTGTTCCTGTTGATGCTCGTGATGGGAATGGGGGTGGTGTTCCTGTTGATGTTCATGATGGGAATGGGGATGGTGTTCCTGTTGATGTTCGTGATGGGGATGGGGATGGTGTTCCTGTTGATGTTCATGGTGGGAATGGGGATGGTGTTCCTGTTGATGTTCATGATGGGAATGGGGATGGTGTTCCCGTTGATGTTCATGATGGGAATGGGGATGGTGTTCCCGTTGATGTTCATGATGGGAATGGGGATGATGTTCCTGTTGATGTTCATGGTGGGAATGGGGATGATGTTCCTGTTGATGTTCATGGTGGGAATGGGGATGGTGTTCCCGTTGATGTTCATGATGGGAATGGGGGTGGTGTTCCCGTTGATGTTCATGATGGGAATGGGGATGGTGTTCCCGTTGATGTTCATGATGGGAATGGGGATGGTGTTCCCGTTGATGTTCATGATGGGAATGGGGATGATGTTCCTGTTGATGTTCATGGTGGGAATGGGGATGGTGTTCCTGTTGATGTTCATGATGGGAATGGGGGTGGTGTTCCCGTTGATGTTCATGATGGGAATGGGGATGGTGTTCCCGTTGATGTTCATGATGGGAATGGGGATGGTGTTCCCGTTGATGTTCATGATGGGAATGGGGATGATGTTCCTGTTGATGTTCATGGTGGGAATGGGGATGATGTTCCTGTTGATGTTCATGGTGGGAATGGGGATGGTGTTCCCGTTGATGTTCATGATGGGAATGGGGATGGTGTTCCCGTTGATGTTCATGATGGGAATGGGGATGGTGTTCCCGTTGATGTTCATGGTGGGAATGGGGATGGTGTTCCCGTTGATGTTCATGATGGGAATGGGGATGGTGTTCCCGTTGATGTTCATGATGGGAATGGGGATGGTGTTCCTGTTGATGTTCATGGTGGGAATGGGGATGATGTTCCTGTTGATGTTCATGATGGGAATGGGGATGGTGTTCCCGTTGATGTTCATGATGGGAATGGGGATGGTGTTCCTGTTGATGTTCATGGTGGGAATGGGGGTGGTGTTCCTCTTGATGTTCATGATGGGAACGGGGATGATGTTCCTGTTGATGTTCATGATGGGAATGGTGATGGTGTTCCTCGCTGATGTTCGTGATGGGAATGGGGGTGGTGTTCCTCTTGATTTTCATGGTGGGAATGGGGATGATGGTCCTCTTGATGTTCATGATGGGAATGGGGGTGGTGTTCCTCGTTGATGTTTGTGATGGGAATGTGCATGGTGTTCCTGTTGATGTTCATGATGGGAATGGGGGTGGTGTTCCTGTTGATGTTCGTGATGAGAATGGGGATGATGTTCCTGTTGATGTTCATTATGGGAATGGTGATGGTGTTCCTCGTTGATGTTTGTGATGGGAATGGGGGTGGTGTTCCTCTTGATGTTCATGTTGGGAATGGGGGTGGTGTTCCTCATTGATGTTCGTGATGGGAATGGGGATGGTGCTCCTGTTGATCTTCATGATGGGTATGAGGATGATGTTCCTGTTGATGTTCGTGATGGGAATGGTGATGGTGTTCCTGTTGATGTTCGTGATGGGAATGGGGATGGTGCTCCTGTTGATGTTCGTGATGGGGATGGTGTTCCTGTTGATGTTTGTGATGAGAATGGGGATGATGTTCATGTTGATGTTCATGATGGGAATGGGGATGGTGTTCCTGTTGATGTTCGTGATGGGAATGGCGATGATGTTCCTGTTGATGTTGATGTTCATGATGGGTATGAGGATGATGTTCCTGTTGATGTTCGTGATGGGAATGGTGATGGTGTTCCTGTTGATGTTCGTGATGGGAATGGGGATGGTGCTCCTGTTGATGTTCGTGATGGGGATGGGGATGGTGTTCCTGTTGATGTTCATGATGGGAATGGGGATGGTGTTCCCGTTGATGTTCATGATGGGAATGGGGATGATGTTCCTGTTGATGTTCGTGATGGGGATGGGGATGGTGTTCCTGTTGATGTTCGTGATGGGAATGGTGATAGTGTTCCTGTTAATGTTCATGATGGGAATGGGGATGATGTTCCTGTTGATGTTCATGATGGGAATGGGGATGGTGTTCCCGTTGATGTTCATGATGGGAATGGGGATGATGTTCCTGTTGATGTTCGTGATGGGGATGGGGATGGTGTTCCTGTTGATGTTCATGGTGGGAATGGGGATGATGTTCCTGTTGATGTTCGTGATGGGGATGGGATGGTGTTCCTGTTGATGCTCGTGATGGGAATGGGGGTGGTGTTCCTGTTGATGTTCATGATGGGAATGGGGATGGTGTTCCTGTTGATGTTCATGATGGGGATGGGGATGGTGTTCCTGTTAATGTTCATGATGGGAATGGGGATGATGTTCCTGTTAATGTTTGTGATGGGGATGGGGATGGTGTTCCTGTTGATGTTCATGGTGGGAATGGGGATGATGTTCCTGTTGATGTTCGTGATGGGGATGGGGATGGTGTTCCTGTTGATGCTCGTGATGGGAATGGGGGTGGTGTTCCTCGATGTTCATGATGGGAATGGTGATGGTGTTCCTGTTGATGTTCGTGATTGGGATGGGGGTGGTGTTCCTCTTTATGTTCATGATGGGAATCGGGATGGTGTTCCTGTTGATGTTCATGATGGGAATGGGGATAGTGTTCCTGTTGATGTTCGTGATGGGAATGGGGATGATGTTCCTGTTGATGTTCATGATGGGAATGGTGATGGTGTTCCTCGTTGATGTTCGTGATGGGAATGGGGGTGGTGTTCCTCTTGATTTTCATGGTGGGAATGGGGATGATGGTCCTCTTGATGTTCATGATGGGAATGGGGGTGGTGTTCCTCATTGATGTTTGTGATGGGAATGTGCATGGTGTTCCTGTTGATGTTCATGATGGGAATGGGGGTGGTGTTCCTGTTGATGTTCGTGATGAGAATGGGGATGATGTTCCTGTTGATGTTCATTATGGGAATGGTGATGGTGTTCCTCGTTGATGTTTGTGATGGGAATGGGGGTGGTGTTCCTCTTGATGTTCATGTTGGGAATGGGGGTGGTGTTCCTCATTGATGTTCGTGATGGGAATGGGGATGGTGCTCCTGTTGATCTTCATGATGGGTATGAGGATGATGTTCCTGTTGATGTTCGTGATGGGAATGGTGATGGTGTTCCTGTTGATGTTCGTGATGGGAATGGGGATGGTGCTCCTGTTGATGTTCGTGATGGGGATGGTGTTCCTGTTGATGTTTGTGATGAGAATGGGGATGATGTTCATGTTGATGTTCATGATGGGAATGGGGATGGTGTTCCTGTTGATGTTCGTGATGGGAATGGCGATGATGTTCCTGTTGATGTTGATGTTCATGATGGGTATGAGGATGATGTTCCTGTTGATGTTCGTGATGGGAATGGTGATGGTGTTCCTGTTGATGTTCGTGATGGGAATGGGGATGGTGCTCCTGTTGATGTTCGTGATGGGGATGGGGATGGTGTTCCTGTTGATGTTCATGATGGGAATGGGGATAGTGTTCCTGTTGATGTTCATGATGGGAATGGGGATGGTGTTCCCGTTGATGTTCATGATGGGAATGGGGATGATGTTCCTGTTGATGTTCGTGATGGGGATGGGGATGGTGTTCCTGTTGATGTTCGTGATGGGAATGGTGATAGTGTTCCTGTTAATGTTCATGATGGGAATGGGGATGATGTTCCTGTTGATGTTCATGATGGGAATGGGGATGGTGTTCCCGTTGATGTTCATGATGGGAATGGGGATGATGTTCCTGTTGATGTTCGTGATGGGGATGGGGATGGTGTTCCTGTTGATGCTCGTGATGGGAATGGGGGTGGTGTTCCTGTTGATGTTCATGATGGGAATGGGGATGGTGTTCCTGTTGATGTTCGTGATGGGGATGGGGATGGTGTTCCTGTTAATGTTCATGATGGGAATGGGGATGATGTTCCTGTTGATGTTCATGATGGGAATGGGGATGGTGTTCCCGTTGATGTTCATGATGGGAATGGGGATGATGTTCCTGTTGATGTTCGTGATGGGGATGGGGATGGTGTTCCTGTTGATGTTCATGGTGGGAATGGGGATGATGTTCCTGTTGATGTTCGTGATGGGGATGGGGATGGTGTTCCTGTTGATGCTCGTGATGGGAATGGGGGTGGTGTTCCTGTTGATGTTCATGATGGGAATGGTGATGGTGTTCCTGTTGATGTTCGTGATGGGGATGGGGGTGGTGTTCCTCTTGATGTTCATGATGGGAATCGGGATGGTGTTCCTGTTGATGTTCATGATGGGAATGGGGATAGTGTTCCTGTTGATGTTCGTGATGGGAATGGGGATGATGTTCCTGTTGATGTTCATGATGGGAATGGTGATGGTGTTCCTCGTTGATGTTCGTGATGGGAATGGGGGTGGTGTTCCTCTTGATTTTCATGGTGGGAATGGGGATGATGGTCCTCTTGATGTTCATGATGGGAATGGGGGTGGTGTTCCTCATTGATGTTTGTGATGGGAATGTGCATGGTGTTCCTGTTGATGTTCATGATGGGAATGGGGGTGGTGTTCCTGTTGATGTTCGTGATGAGAATGGGGATGATGTTCCTGTTGATGTTCATTATGGGAATGGTGATGGTGTTCCTCGTTGATGTTTGTGATGGGAATGGGGGTGGTGTTCCTCTTGATGTTCATGTTGGGAATGGGGGTGGTGTTCCTCATTGATGTTCGTGATGGGAATGGGGATGGTGCTCCTGTTGATCTTCATGATGGGTATGAGGATGATGTTCCTGTTGATGTTCGTGATGGGAATGGTGATGGTGTTCCTGTTGATGTTCGTGATGGGAATGGGGATGGTGCTCCTGTTGATGTTCGTGATGGGGATGGTGTTCCTGTTGATGTTTGTGATGAGAATGGGGATGATGTTCATGTTGATGTTCATGATGGGAATGGGGATGGTGTTCCTGTTGATGTTCGTGATGGGAATGGCGATGATGTTCCTGTTGATGTTGATGTTCATGATGGGTATGAGGATGATGTTCCTGTTGATGTTCGTGATGGGAATGGTGATGGTGTTCCTGTTGATGTTCGTGATGGGAATGGGGATGGTGCTCCTGTTGATGTTCGTGATGGGGATGGGGATGGTGTTCCTGTTGATGTTCATGATGGGAATGGGGATAGTGTTCCTGTTGATGTTCATGATGGGAATGGGGATGGTGTTCCTGTTGATGTTTGTGATGGGAATGGGGATGGTGTTCCTGTTGATGTTCGTGATGGGAATGGGGATGGTGTTCCTATTGATGTTCGTGATGGGAATGGGGATGGTGTTCCTGTTGATGCTCTTTCTCTCTCTCTTTCGTTCCCTCCTCCAGTTGCCAGTGTCACCCGCTGGGGTCCCAGCACAGCCGCTGTGACCCTTTTACAGGTCAGTGCCTTTGTCATCCTGGCGTGGAAGGCCTCTCCTGCGACCGCTGCCAGGCCGGGACCTTCGGCTTTTCCTCCCAGGGCTGCCAAGGTAACACCAGCTCCAATATCTATAATATACAATATATTATATTGCAACATTATTAATATTATATATAATATATTTGTATACAATGTTAAAATACCAGGATAAGTTTGCTTTGGAGTCAACCAGAAGTAGGAACTGACTTGACAGCAGTCCATACTCAAAAACAGCATGCCAGAGCACATTATTATTATTATTATTATTATTATTATTATTATTATTTATTATGGCGCCCCCGGTGGCACAGTGCGTTAAACCTCGGAGGTGTTGAACTTGCTGACTGAAAGGTTGGCGGTTCGAATCCGGGAAGTGGGTGAGCTCCGGCTGTTAGCCCCAGCTTCTGCCAACCTAGCAGTTCATGTAAATATGAGTAAAGTAACGGCGCTTCATGCGGTCATGCCAGTGGCCACATGAGTTACTTTATTTCCTGATTGTTCCTGGTCCTAAATCAATCCATGATTGTGTCCCTGGTGCAAATGACAAGCCATCCTTCCCTTTCTTGCAGCATGCAACTGCTCCCAGTTGGGCTCCCTTGCCATCCAGTGCCACGAAGACGGCATGTGCATCTGCAAGGAAGGCTTCGTGGGCCTCAAATGTGACCAATGTGCCACGGACTTCTTCCTCGATCCTGGCAGCGAACATTGCCAGAAATGCCCTCTTTGCTACGGCCTGGTGAAGGAAGAGGTAGGAGCCCGACAAACCATGTCCCTCTTTTCTAGCTCTACAGTACTGAGGAGCCACCCAAAGACCACCGTCCAATGACATTGTAGGTTATATCGAGCACCATAAACATGTAAAAGAGCTCCACAAACACCATTCTGTCCACCACCCAAGGAATGCTTTCATTCAGAGACAATTTCCTCCTAGATTTTACGTGTTTTTTTTCCACCACAGACATCCCAGTGTTCCTTTCTCTCTCCATTGGTGTGGGATTTGCAAAATCCCGCCAACTGCCTCTCCCTTAACCCTTTCCAACTCTGTCCGTATAACAAACAGAACAGAACTAATCAGCAACTTCACATACTGGAAGAGTTTGGGGGATTGACTCCAGATATTGGAACTTGTAGTTCACCCTGCATCAAATCAGAGCGCTGTGACCCCCACTGACAATGGACCTGGACCACATTTGGCACACAGAACCCTCACAGCTAATGCAAAATACTAGAGAGGTTTGCAGGGAATTCACCTTATTGTAGGTTCTGGGATTTATAGTCTATCAAAGAGCACTCTGGACCCCACCGATTTTTTTTTGTCGTGTCAGGAGTGACTTGAGAAACTGCAAGTCACTTGTGGTGTGAGAGAATTGGCCATCTGCAAGGACGTTGCCCAGGGGACGCCCGGATGTTTTGATGTTTTTATCATCCCTGTGGGAGGCTTCTCTCATGTCCCCGCATGAGGAGCTGGAGCTGATAGAGGGAGCTCATCCACCTCTCCCCGGATTCGAACCTGCAACCTGTTGGTCTTCAGTCCTGCCGGCACAGGGGTTTAACCCACTGCGCCACCGGGGGCTCCACCCCACCGATGATGACCCTGGACCTCACTTGGCACACATAACCCCCATGACCAACAACAAATACAGGAGGGTTTTGCAGGGAACTGGCCTAGGGAAGTAATGCTACCCCTCTATTCTGCTTTGGTTAGACCACACCTGAATATTGTGTCCAATTCTGGGCACCACAATTCAAGAGAGATATTGACAAGCTGGAATGTGGCGACTAAAATGATCAAGGGTCTGGAGAACAAGCCCTATGAGGGCGGCTTAAGGAGCTGGGCATGTTTAGCCTGAAGAAGAGAAGGCTGAGAGGGATATGATAGCCATGTATAAATATGTGGGGAAGCCACAGGGAGGAGGGAGCAAGCTTGTTTTCTGCTGCCCTGGAGACTAGGACGCGGAACAATGGCTTCAAACTACAAGAGAGGAGATTCCATCTGAACACGAGGAAGAACTTCCTGACTGTGAGAGCCGTTCAGCAGTGGAACTCTCTGCCCCGGAGGGTGGTGAAGGCTCCTTCTTTGGAAGCTTTTAAACAGAGGCTGGATGGCCATCTGTCAGGGGTGATTTTAATGCAACATTCCTGCTTCTTGGCAGAATGGGGTTGGACTGGATGGCCCATGAGGTCTCTTCCAACTCTTTGATTCTATGATTCTATGATTCTATGATTTCTGGAAGTTGTAGTTCATTTACACCCACAGACCACTGAGACCCCCACAAATGACGGACCTGGCCCAAACTTGGCACACATAACTGCTACGACCAATTGAACCTACTGGAGGGATTTGAGGGTACTGACCCACCATGGTGGGAGCTGTAGTTTATCCTGCAGCCAGAGATCACACTGTCAGACTCAGTCCAATGAGGCGTTATAACCTACCTATACAAGCACTCCACTTCTGTAGGGATTAAACCTGTTTCTAAATGGAGGCTGGATGGTCATCTGTCAGGAGGGTTTTGACTGTGTTCCCCTGCTTGGCTGAAGGGGGTTGGGCTAGATGCCCTTTTGGGGATCTCTTCCAACTCTTGGGAAGTATAGACTGCTTGGGAGTCCACGCAAACGGGTCTGTGATAGATTAGTTTCCTTTCTCTACATTTTTTTTGCATTCATTCCTTCCTGTCGTTTCCTCCCTGAGTCCATCTCTGCTTCTTTTCTTACAGGCGGACAAACTGAAGGCCAGCCTGGCCGCAATGGAGTCTCAGCTGGAGAAACCCAATTGCGAGTTGAGAGTTGGCTTTTACTCCGAAATGCTCCGAGAGGCACCCCGAGGAGACAGTCTCCAGGACCAGGACTTCTGGAAGGGTAAATTTACTTATTTTATTTATGATTTACTATATTATTATTATTATTATTATTATTATTATTATTATTATTATTTTATTTACAGTTGTATTGTATTTTTAAAACACACACACACACAAAGTTTGCAAACTTGGCATTTTATTAAATTACCTTTTACCGCTAGCTGGCCACTTGGAGTGCCTCTGGTGTTGCTATAAGCAGGTCCTCCATTGTGCATGTGGCAGGGCTCAGGCTGCAGTGTAGTTGGTGGTCTGTGGTTTAGAATCATAGAATCAAAGAGTTGGAAGAGACCTCTTGGGCCATCCAGTCCAACCCTCCTGCCAAGAAGCAGGAAAATTGCTTTCAAAGCACCCCCGATGGATGGCCATCCCGCCTCTTTTTAAAAGCTTCCACCACACTCTGGGGCAGAGAGTTCCACTGCTGAACAGCTTCCTGAAGTTCTTCCTAATGTTCAGATGGAATCTCCTCTCTTGTAGTTTGAAGCCATTGTTCCGCGTCCTAGTCTCCAAGGAAGCAGAAAACAAGCTTGCTCCCTCCTCCCTGTGGCTTCCTCTCACATATTTACATGGCTATCATATCTCCTCTCAGCCTTCTCTTCTTCAGGCTAAACATGCCCAGCTCTTAAGCTGCTCCTCATAGGGCTTGTTCTCCAGACCCTTGATCATTTTAGTCGCCTTCCTCTGGACACATTCCAGCTTGTCAATATCTCTCTTGAATTGTGGTGCCCAGAATTGGACACAATATTCCAGGTGTGGTCTAACCAAAGCAGAATAGAGGGGTAGCATTACTTCCCTAGATCTAGACACTATGCTCCTATTGATGCAGGCCAAAATCCCATTGGCTTTTTTTGCCGCCACATCACATTGTTGGCTCATGTTTAACTTGTTGTCCACGAGGACTCCAAGATCTTTTTCACACGTACTGCTCTCGAGCCAGGCATTGTCCCCCATTCTGTATCTTTGCATTTCATTTTTTTCTGCCAAAGTGGAGTATCTTGCATTTGTCACTGTTGAACTTCATTTTGTTAGTTTTGGCCCATCTCTCTAATCTGTCAAGATCGTTTTGAATTCTGCTCCTGTCCTCTGGAGTATTGGCTATCCCTCCCAATTTGGTGTCGTCTGCAAACTTGATGATCATGCCTTCTAGCCCTTCATCTAAGTCATTAATAAAGATGTTGAACAGGACCGGGCCCAGGACGGAACCCTGCGGCACTCCACTTGTCACTTCTTTCCAAGATGAAGAGGAAGCATTAGTGAGCACTCTCTGTGTTCGTCCACTTAACCAATTACAGATCCACCTCACCGTAGTTTTGCCTAGCCCACATTGGACTAGTTTCCTTGCCAGAAGGTCATGGGGGACCTTGTTGAAGGCCTTCCTGAAATCCAGGTACGCTACATCCACGGCATTCCCCGCATCTACCCAGCTTGTAGCTCTATCGAAGAAAGAGATCAGATTAGTCTGGCATGACTTGTTTTTGATAAATCCATGTTGACTATTAGCGATGACTGCATTTGTTTCTAAGTGTTTGCAGACCGCTTCCTTAACAATCTTTTCCAGAATCTTGCCCGGTATTGACGTGAGGCTGACTGGACGGTAGTTGTTTGCTCTTCTCCGTACCCACATGTCGTGAACTCCACCTTGTGGCTCCCTTTCTTAAGGTTGGCTCTGCATCTCATGGTGCCAGTGAGCAGTCTGTTCAGTACCTTCCAAGTCATCCAGTTTTCTGTGCCCAGAGGGGAGTCTCTCATATGGTCTCAGCCACTGATTGAGGTCCTGGGTTTTAGCCTGCCACTTTTGGACTCTCGCTTGCTGAGGTGTTCCTGCGAGTGTCTCTGTAGATCTCGAGTTGCGGCATACGTTACCCAGTAGTTCATTCGAGTGCATCAGAAAGGAAGAGAATGGAGACAGCAGATCGATTTCCAGGCTTTTACTATTTCTGCAGAGAATAGGGTGAACAGCTTCCAATGGGCTATCACACCATGCCTAGACAGAATAATGTATGGGCAGGGCACTTGGGGAGCAAGATACAGAAGAGCGAGAGCCACAGCTCACAAAAGGCCATGTCCCACAATCTCTGTTTGAATGATATGATGATGATGATGATGATGATGATGATGATGATGATGATGATGATGTTATTGTAAACCGCCTTGAGTCCCTGTGGGGACAAAAGTGGGATAGAAATAAAGTAGAGGATGATGATGTTATTGTTAACCGCCTTGAGAATATATGGAGAGAAAGGAAGGATAGAAAGAAAGTAAACAACCATGATGATGATAATGTTATTGGCAAATAAATAATAGCAGCAGCCATGGGGTGAAAGGACATCTAGACCAACCTTTCGCCATTCCGGAACGCGCAGCTCAAACACAAACACGTGGCTTTGTTGCTTGCAGGGACCCAGGCGGTTTTCCTCGAAGAGATCGCTGCAATGGAGAGGAAGGCGCAGGAGGCCCAGATCCGGCTAAGGAACGTGAGCGCTGTTGTCAGCTGCGGAGGCCAGAACAGCGCCAAAGCCTGCATCCTCCTCGCCGACGTCCGGTCGACCCTGGAGTCAACACAGCGAGAGATCCGCCTGGCGACCCAAACGCTGGCTGCCATGGTACTAGGTTCGGATTCATGTACACACACACACAAACACACACAAATTCTCTTTCTGTGGCTCTTATTGCTCTCCAGTTCGGAAGTCACATCCCCAATGGTTGCAGACACTTGCTTGGAAGAAAATAGGTCCTCCAGGCATTTTCTAGGTCCTCCGTGCAATTCTATCGTACTATAAAGCGGAATGTACCGTACTTCATTGCAATAGGGTTTGCCATTATCGGTGGCTTCATTTGCCCACATCTAACAAAATAGCTCCTCTCTAGGCATTTCCTTGGCCCTCCAGTGGAACTCTGTTATTATTATTATTATTATTATTATTATTATTATTACTATTATTATGACTCAAAACCACAGTATGTCACAGCAAATGAGATCTATATGCTGGATTTTGTATCACAAAATCACAAGTCAAACAGTTCCCAAGCATATTATTATTATTATTATTATTATTATTATTATTATTATTATTATTATTATTATTGGTCCAGGCTCCGTGTATAAGGATTATTATTATTATTATTATTATTATTATTATTATTATTATTATTATTATTAGTGGTCCAGGCTATGTGTATAAGGATTATTATTATTATTATTATTATTATTATTATTATTATTATTTGTAGTCCAGGCTATGTGTATAAGGATTATTATTATTAGTAGTAGTAGTAGTAGTATTAGTAGTGGTCCAGGCTATGTGTACAAGGATTATTATTATTACTACTACTACTACTACTACTACTACTACTACTACTATTAGTGGTCCAGGCTATGTGTATAAGGATTATTATTATTATTATTATTATTATTATTATTATTTTACTGACACAAAAGCACAGTATGTCACAGCAAATGAGATCTATATGCTGGATTTCGTATCACAAAATCACAAGTCGAACACTTCCCAAGCATCTAGGACTGTGTGATGTATTTTCCAATGATGAGCGCAGATCCAAGTAAGGTGGCCTTTTGCAGTTGACAGATCGAGATTATGTTGATTATTTTGTTGTTGATGATGATTATGATGGTTATTATTATTTGTGGTCCAGGCTATATGTATAAGGATTATTATTATTATTATTATTATTATTATTATTATTATTATTATTATTTGCACTTAGTGAGACTGACCCTCAAGGAACTGAGTGCGAGTTCGGGATGGCCGATCCTGAACTCGCACTCAGCAACCTATCTAAATCATTCTGTGGCATCTTCTTACCTAGGATTTCCCTCTGGAAGTTTCGCACGAGCCGCAAAATTGGACCCTCCATGCACTGGAGTCTCGGGATCTCTCCTGGAGGTACAGCGGGATTACATTCACATGTATTGGACTGCGATTGACATAAACAATTGTATTGATTGCCCATTGCCAAACAGTGGCAAATGGGGATTACATGCTTTCCAAGATGTATAACAACACTACATGAGACAATTTTTGTTCCTGGGTAATAATTAGTTCTATCATTAGAACATGGGGAAAGTTTATTAAACTGCAAACACTTTTTTGATCATGATAATAATAATAATAATAATAATAATAATAATAATAATAATCTCAAAATTACAATTTAGTTTGGGGGGGGGAAGGGGGAGCGACCCATGATGTTGGGAGTTGTAGTTCACCCACTATCAAAGAGAATTATGAACCCAACCCAACCGACGCTGGATCTGGACCATACTTGGCACACATACTCAACACAACCAACTTTTAATACTGGCAGAATTTGGGGAATTAACCCAGGATGATGGGAGTTGTATTTCACTTGCATCCAGAGAGCACTGTGAACTCAAGCAACCATGGATGTGGAGCAAACTTGGCATGCCTACCCAACATGTCCAACTGTTGGGTTGGAGGGATTTACCCGGATTATGGGAGTTGTAGTTCACTCACATCCAGAGAGCACTGTGAACTCAAGCAACCATGGATATGGAGCAAACTATTGTATTGTTATTGTTTGCTGTTGTTGTGTTGAGGCCTTGGCCTTTGTAAGCTGCATCGAGTCCTTCGGGAGATGCTAGCAGGATACAAATAAAGTTTAATAATAATAATAATTAATAATAATAATAATAATAATAATAATAATAATAACAACTTGGCATGACTACCCAACATGGCCAACTTTTGATTTGGGGGAATTGACCCAGGATGATGGGAGTTGCAGTTCACTCACACTTTTAAACATTTTCTAACAATCTACATTCATAAAACTGTCAGTAATATTTCAAATTAACTAGGTATTTTGAATTACAAAAATGTGAGTCAAGCACTGAAAGGGTTAAATGGATGCAATGACAGCAAAAGCTGCAGTTCAATATAAGCAAGTGTGCCTGTAGCTTAGTAGCCCTTAGCATGAGAGAGGCCTCAGTTAGAGAGACCTCAATATGTTAGTTTGCCTCAGTGTGAGGTAAACCTCAGTGTTAGTAGGCCTCAGTGTGAGATAGGCCTCAGAGTTAGTAGGGCTCTGTGTGAGAGGCTTGATGTGCGAAGGCTCCAGTGTTAGTAGATCTCAGTGTGAGAAGCCTCAGTATGAGAAGGCTCCAGTGTTAGTAGGCCTCAATATGAGAAGGCCTCAGTGTGAGGATGACCTGGTGTAAGAAGCTTTGGTGAGAGAAGCCCCAGGTTGAAGACCTCATGAGTGAAGCTCCAGTGTGAGTGTTGTTGTGTGTAAAAAGCTACTGTGTGAAGCTCCTGTGTAAGTTCAGTATGAGAGGAAGCTCAGTAAGAGCGAAAATGTTTATCTGCATGAGAAAGAAGCCCAGCATGGAAACAAAGAAGAAGTATAAAAACCTTTTGTGTTATGGAAACCTAATTCTTGTCATTACTGCAACCATATTATTTTACTACAAAGAAAAGTCTCCGAAGGAAGAGATAATATTGGTCTTGTTAGAGACCCTAAATTTGGGTCTTTTTAGGTCCAGTCGCGGGAGCACGGAAGGATTGAGACAGTCCCAATGAAAAATCAAAAAACAAGGTTTTATTTTAGTTTCTTCATGAAGAAAGACGAACAGCCTGATAGCATTTCGCAGAAGCTATCCTCCATGTGGCTGCCGTGCCGTCTTGGCTTTTGACCACCAAATATATACCCTCAAGTAAACAACATTTTTGTCATGGAAAAGTACTCTCTTTCCAGCCCCCCTCTCTTTGACCTTTTGATGGAAGTACCTTTTTGTGCATGTGGCCTCTGCGCTTCAAAAACAGTCTTTGAAGCTAACCACAGGCATCCTGTGTAGGAAGTACCTTTTAAATGTCACATATTGTTTCTTCCGTGGTGCTCTACAGAGAAAGGGTATATCTCTTTTGCTGTTTTTGTTAGCTTGTTTACCCAAAAGCCCCTTACTCAGAGACCCTTGAGGCCTCCTTCAGTCTCTGTGTTTTTTGTTCTTTTTATCACTTTGGGCTACTGGCACTGGGTCACATTGCTGCTCATAATTTACTCTGCTGTACTTCTGTGAGCAGGGCCTTTCATTAATAAGCTCACTCACCCAATAGCCACCCCTCCCAAACAAACCATGACTATTTATTAATGTTTATCATTACATAAGTCCTAACCTGGGCCTCCCCTAAGCTAGTAGTACATCAGCGGGAATGCCTCCTAGTGTATTCTTCTCACACCAGGCCTCTCACACACTGAGGCCTACCTCACACTGAGACCTACCTCACACTGAGGCCTACTAACACTGAGGTTTATCTCACACTAAATGCAATTTTCCTCCTTCTTGTAAGTGGGCTGAACTGGATGGCTCACAAGGTCTCTTCCAAGTCAATGATTCTATGATTCTCTCTGCAGACACATGGAAGCCGCCGCTTTGGTGGAAGACACTGCAAGGAAGGCGTTGCTTACATCTAGTGGAAGCCACCTCCTTTTGCAAAGCGTCATGGAGGACAACGTTACCCTGGAGATGGAAGAAAGGTGGGTCTGTATAATCCACATCAAGAGAATTAATGATGTTTTTGGCACGCTACATATATGTTGGCTTTGTGTCTTCAATTCAATGTGTTCGAAGGAGATGCATCTTTGTTTTCCTCTGAGGCTGTGAGAGTGTGATTGAAAACCCTTGGATTTCAATAGCTGAGCTAGGCTTCGATTTCCAGTCACCAACTGTTAGGGACCCCTAAACTTGGTCCCAACTGAAGGCCCGGTCAAAGGAGGCAAACAGACAAACAGCCAGTCTCAAAAGCAAGGTTTATTTCGTCATGCTCATGCAGAGACGGCCAACCGTACCAAACACGCAGGTCTTGGTACTTTCAAGAGGCTGTGGCACCCATTGTCTCTCAAACTCACATTATATAGACAAGACTCACAATACTGCAGCAAAAGTTATCCAATTACAAGCTGCCTGACTAACTAACTTCTTGTAAATCACATGATTTCTTGACAATGGAAAGTACAAGACCCAAAGAGCTCTTTCCCCCCCGTGTATGGCATAGATACTTTGCCAGCTTTTTAGCCTTCTGCCTGAACGGTCTTGTGAAAGTTGTTGACTGCACATGTTTTTTAGGTGCTAACCACAAATGTTCCAGACAAGACGGACCCTTAGCGGAAGCTCATTTCTAAATACAGAGGGGGTACATTTTTAACTTTGATTTCTCTAGTTTTATTATTATTGTCCTATCACAACCACTATATTTCTCTTTATCTCCAAGGATAAAGGCCTCAAAACACTATGCAGAACAATATGGGTTGAAACTAAGCTGAGAAATCCAAGATTGGAGATGATGAGATGGTTGTACAACCCGCAATGTCCATTCCTTGCAAATGCAGACTCAGCCTCTCATCTTATTTTCCTTTATTAGGTACCATTTGATCCAAAAGGCACAGAAGGAGTTGGGCCTCAACATGGAGGAGGCAACAGCCGAAGTCAAGGCAAAGGCAGCGTCCGTCCATCGGATCAACACAGAAATGGGCAAGAACCTCTCGGGCATCTCCAGCCTGGATCTGGTGAGCAGGAGTATTGATTCCCTTTTATATTATCCCGCCTTTCTCCCAATATACTGGGCTCAATATTGTCCTTTCTATAGGACAGCCATTGACCGTTCTTGGAGCTCCAAACCACGCCATTTTGCAATTTGGTGCAAAGACAATCACTATTTTAAATGTGACCGGAAGGCCTTAGACGTTGGGCGAAAAGAGAGATGGCATCAACAACAACAACAACAACAACAATGACAACAACAATACAGACTCTGGCACAAGCCAATCAAGGTGGTCCCAGTGGTGATTGGCACACTGGGTGCAGTGCCTCAAGACCTTGGCCTGCACTTAAAAACAATCGCAGCTGACAAAATCACCACCTGTCAGCTAGAAAAGCCCACCCTGCTCAGATCTGAACACATTATTCACTGATACATCACACATTCCTAGACACTTGGGAAGTGTCCAACGTGTGATCCAATACAACAGCCAGCAGAGTGTCTGCTGTGGACTCATCTTGTTGTGTTTCAAATAATAATAATAATTATAATTATAATTATTATTATTATTATTACTGTCTCTCCTTATGATTCAAAAATCCAGACCTTGGGGGGGGGGGGGGATTTGGAACTCTGGATGACCTCTCCCAGCGGTTTCATGTAGATGTTAAAAAGCATGGGGGGCAGAATTGAACCTTGCAGGACCCCACAGGTTAACGGTCAGGGGTCCGAGCAGGTGTCCCCCAGCTTCACCATCTGGGAACGGTCCTTCAAGAAGGACCGGAGCCACGACAGAGATGTGTCCCCTAGACCCATCCCGGAGAGTTGTCCCAGAAGGATACCATGGTCGATGGTATTGAAAGCCGCTGAGATATCCAAGAGAACGTGTGGTATACGTGACATTCTTTGGGTTCATTGCGTGGCATCTTTACAGCAGTGTTGCCACTATTAAAGTTCCAACCTGGGTTGTTGTAGGTTTTTCCGGGCTATATAGCCATGTTCTAGAGGCATTTTCTCCTGACGTTTCGCCTGCATCTATGGCAAGCATCCTCAGAGGTAGTGAGGTCCAACCCTCGTACATCCTGCATATCAGATATTTACATTATGATTCATAACAGTAGCCAAACTACAGTGATGAAGTAGCAACGAAAATAATGTGATGGTTGGGGGTCACCACAACAGGAGGAACTGTATTAAGGGGTCGCGGAATTGGGAAGGTTGAAAAACACTGAGTTGGAAGCAGAGGCGGCCCTAGGTAATTTTCAACAGTAAGCAAACAGTATTTTGGGCCCCCCCCCCCCCCCCCGCCCAACCAATCATTGATATATATTTTCTGTTTGTCGTGGGAGTTCTGTGTGCCATATTTGTTCAATTCCATCATTGGTGGAGTTCAGAATGCTCTTTGATTGTAGGTGAACTATACATCCCAGTAACTACACTTGCCGCACTTGCTCCCTTGCCTGGCCTGCTTTGGGTCTGAAGGCGTGCCTGAAGACCCCGGCGTGTGCACCAAAAGTCACCTCTTCTCCTGACTTTCTCCTCAGCCATTGGGACCAAGAGAGAGAGAGAGAGGTGGAGATGCCCACCTTTCCTGAAGGTAGGCGCAAAAACAAAGGAGGGAGCGGAGGTGGGAGATACCTCCAGCCGGAGGGGCTCTCTCTCTCTCTCTCTCTCTTGGTCCCAATGGCTGAAGAGAAAGTCAGGAGAAGAGGCGACTTTTGGTGCACACGCTGGGGTCTTCAGACACGCCTCTGGACCCGAAGCGGGCCAGGCGCGGCGGCTCTGCCCCTTGGCCCACCCGCGGATTGGGAGAGGAGAGGAGGCGGGTGGAGCGCCGGGGGATTGGGAAAGGGAGCCAGTCATGGGGAAGGGATCAAATGTGGAGAATGTTTGAGCACCAGCTCTGCTTGCGTACCTCGTGGCCGGGTGGAGCAGGAACGAGAGGGGCTAGGCAAGGCTCAAGGGCCCGGCCCCTTTGGGAAGAGGATCGCCTGGCAGCGAGGCAAGAAAGCCGAGGCTCCCCCCGGACTGCTAGGGCTGTTGTGAGCTGAGGGGCGCTCCTCAAGTGGCGGTCGAGGGGCATTTACAGAGGCGCCTCTGCGCCCCTGGCAAAAAAAGGTGTTCTGCGACCGCTTACTTCGCGTAATGGACGAGCCGCCCCTGGTTGGAAGACAGAATCAGAATCAGAAATCCCTATCCATCCTTGTGAATAACATTATCCTTTTGCTATGGATGGTCCCACAGCGCCCCCTGCTGCAGGAAGTGGAGGATCTTCGCCAAGCGGCTGAGAAACTGCAGGCGATGGATGCTTTGAAGATGGAACATGTAGTCAGTGGAGCCATGGACATGCAAAAGGAGCTGCAAAAGGAACTCCAGAGGATGCAGCAAGTGGAAGAGGTGAGCTTGGGGCCAAAAGAAGTACTATATTTGTCTCTCGTTCAAAGAATCATAGAGCATGGCAGAACAAAGGAGGTTGGACTGGATGGCCCCTGGAGTTGCTCCTATTACTTATTATTACACAGACTGCATGGCCATCTGTTGAAGGTTCTTTGACTGTGCTTTTCCGGCATGGCAGAATAAAAAACCCACATCTTTTCCAGTCTTTTACACACTAGGATATTATATACGGTTATTAGGCTTGGTTGATTAAAAAAATTAGTTCTAAACTCGATTTGGAAGTAGGGGATGCTGGTGGTTCGATTCTAGTAAATTCTGAATTTTTCCCAAAAAAAATCGAAACTTTCCGAAACTTCCGAAACGTCCGAATTGATTCGTTAATGCGGATGCGCATTCGCAGCACTGGCACTGGGGAAACTTCAGGGGATTCTCCCTCCTTCTTTTTTACACCAATCCTGATGAAATTTGCTACTGTGGTAGAACACACGGACCACTGTTAGCTCACCAAATTTGATAACCTTTGACTTCTCCATGGAGAAGTCAAAGGTTTTATTTTAAAAACTTTTTTAATAATAAAGGAAGTCTGTTCCTGGTTTGAAAGTGTTATTTCCTGTTTCATTGGGTGGTCTTTACTTTGAAAATAGTTGTTCTACTCCAGAAACTTTGTTTGTGTGTCACAAACTGTGTTAAATTGGTGGAGAACAGAAATCGTACAGACCCCATCAAGGTGAAGGATGCTAAGCAAGGGGCTTTGAATGAAATTAACAGCAAAAGAGAAACATACCCTTTCTCTGTAGAAAAAGAGCAGCACGGAAGAAAATGTGTTTAAGAAACAAGATGTGACACATAGAGGTCGGAAGTTGTATTGTGGTTAAGTTCAAAGGTTGTTTTTTGAAGCGCAGAGTCTGCAGGTACAAGAAGGTACTTTCCATCAAAAGGTCAAGGGAGGGGGCTGGAAAGAGAGTACTTTCCATGACAAAAAATGTTCTTGTTTACTTGAGGTTATATATTGGTGGTAAAAAGCCAAGAAGAGGCGGCAGTCATTGAAGCGTAGCATCTGCGTATGCTGTCAGGCTGTCCTTCTTCATGAAGAAACTAAAATAAAACCTTGTTTTTTTATCTTTTTTTGGGACTGTGTCCTTCCTTTCGTGCTCCCGTGATGTGGACCTAAGAAGACACAATTTAGCATCTCTAACAAAGGGACATCTAGACCAACCCCCTTCTTCTGGGCAGAAAGGCACCATCCAAACTCTCCTAACATCAATTTGCTTCCTCTACTGAGTTGGAGGGGACTCTCAAGACCCATCCATCCATTTATTCCTATTTGCAGATGCAATCAATAATTTTATTTTATCACTACCTGTACCCGTGTTGCTGTGGCCAACTTCCCCTCCCTCTTTCTCTCCTTTCCTTCTCTCCTTTCTTCCTTCTCTACCTATTTGTGGACTGCAATCCCAAGCAATCCTCCTGATTGATCTATCTTCCTATCTATCTATCTATCTATCTATCTATCTATCTATCTATCTATCTATCGCCATCTATCGCCATCTATCTGGAGGATTGCTGGGAGTTGCAGTCTGGGAATAGGAAATTGGAAATATGCCGGGATTGGGATGCTCTCAAAGAAATCCAAGGAGAAGAAAGCTTGCAGCTCGGAAGCAGTGCATTTGGAGCATCCTCCTCCCCTAAAGGGCCTGGTCTAGAGGATGCTGGGAGCTGTTGTTTTCGTGCACGCGCTGTATCGTCAGTGAGCTTTTTTTGGGTTTTTAAGTCCTTTCTGCTGTTTTTTTTTTTTTTGGGGAGGGGTTTCTGAGTGATGGCCACTCATTGGCCTGATAGATGTATTGGGTCCAAATTTAGTGTCAGTATGTCCAGTGGTTTTTGAGTTATGTTAATCCCACAAACTAACATTACATTTTTATTTATATAGATTTGGACGAAGACTGCTACAGACAGCTATGTTTGGGTCCTTCAGCCATTTTGGATCCTTCAGCCATGAGCAGGCATGCATTGTGGGAAATGTAGTTTAACAGCAGGGCCTTTTGCAATCTTTACCATTGGGCGCCTGGCCTTCCCAAACTACAGACTAGCCACGGCCACCTCATCCCTTCTGGCAGCGCTGGCCGAAAGAATGAGATTTTTAAAGTTCCCTTGCTTTACTGTATGCTTTTTTGGCTTTACCAAAGTTGCTTAATATTTGTGAAAATTAAAATAACCTTGGGATACATCCGAACATTCAAAACCCACTTTGGATGTCCAAATGCATATATTTTTTCCAAATTTCAATAATTTCTGAGCGTGTCTATCCAACCCTAACTGTTATTATAGTTTGTTCTTTTGTGTTTTCACAGCTTAGGCAAAGAGCAAATGATGCCTGTCAGCTGGCAGCTTCGTCACTTGCCAATGGAGAAGCCGTCGTCTCCAAAGCAAAGGATTTGCTCAGCAACATGGAAGGTAAACAACACATTGTTCCAAGCTGCAACTACAATACCCATTGTTTAGACACAAGTTGGGAAGGACAACTGGGATTAGTGTCTTCCTTCTGTATGCACAGGGATGAAGAAACTGTCCAGACAACACAACAAGAACCAAAGGATCACACAAATGGCAGCCAGGCCAAACAGGACAATAGCAGATGCCCAGAAGAAGGTCCGGCAAACGCAAAGGCTTCTGGGAGATTCGGCCACCGTCTCGGACAAGGCCCAAAGGAGTGCCAGAGATGCAGAGGAAGTGAGCAAAGGAAATGCCAAGGTAGATGCTGGATTTGGTAGGTGCAAGGGCTTTGCAAGGTAGATGCAAGGCTTTCGCAAGGTATGTGCAAGACATTTGCAGAGTAGATGTGCAAGGACTTGGCAAGGTAGATGCAAGGCTGTCACAAGGTAGATGCAAGGCTTTTGTAAGGTAGGTGTGCAAGGGCTTTGCAAGGTAGACGCAAGGCTTTCGCAAGGTATTTGCAGAGTAGGTGTGCAAGGGCTTTGCAAGGTAGATGCAAGGCTGTCACAAGGTAGATGCAAGGCTTTTGTAAGTTAGGTGTGCAAGGGCTTTGCAAGGTATATGCAAGAGCTTTACATGGTATGTGCAAGGGCTTTGCAAGGTAAGTGTGCCAGGGCTTTGCAAGGTAGATGCAAGGCTTTGCAAGGTAAAGGTATTGCAAGGTATCTGCAAGGGCTTTGCAAGATGCATGCACAAAAGGCTTTGCAAGCTAGAAGCAAGACTTTTACACAGTAGATGCAAGGGTTTTGCAGGGTAGGTGTAAGGGTTTTGCAAGGTATATGCAAGGCTTTCGCAAGGTAGATGCAAGGGCTTGCAAGGTATCTGCAAGATTGTTGCAAGGGCTTTGCAAGGTACAGTAGATGCAAGACTTTTGCAAGGTAGAAGCAAGGACTTTGCAAGGTAGATGCATAGGTTTTGCAAGGTAAGGCGCAAGGGCTTTGAAAGGTAGATGTAAGGACTTTGCAAGGCAAGCGCACAAGGGCTTTGCAAGGTAGATGCATGGATTTTGCAAGGTAGACACAAGGGCTTTGCAAGGTAGGTGTGCAAGGGCTTTGCAAGGTAGGTGCAAAGCTTTCGCAAAGTAGGTGTACAAAGGTTTGTAAGTTAGTTGCAAGGATTTTTCTTTTGATTTACTTCCCTTGGAGGCTGAGAGAGTGTGACTCCCACTGCAGTCTCCCAGGAGTCTATTCCAGCCCTAAGTGGCTCCAGTCTGGTAAATAAATGACCCTAGCATTCCTCTTTCCTGCCTTTCCTGCCCTTCTGCAGCTTGCGCATGAGACATTGCTAGTGGCCAAGCAGGAACAGCAAAAGGCCGGCCAGATACACAGCCGGTTTGCTGCAACCCTGGAAAAAGTCTCCAAGTTGGAACAAGAAGCCAAAGAACTGGACATTCGGACAGAGGGACCCAACCAGGTCAGTTGTGTTTGGGCTCAGTCCAATTTGGGGGTGCAATACATGGATGGTCAGTGGGTCAGTCAGTCTACTCCGGGATTTATTCCCAAAGCTTCGCACTCCCAGGTGGGCTCGGCCCCCGTTTAAAGTTGGGACTAAAACCCAGAACGAATTCACAAGCAGGGGAGACAATAAACAGTCGCATTGAAATGGCAGGGAGAAGGTTTGAGGGAAAGAAACAAAGAGAGGTCCTGAGGTCTGAAAAGCAGGTCAATATCCGGTTGGTGCCAACCGGATATGGACCCTCCTGGTAAGCCAGGAAAAAGGGGGTACAGAACAAAGAAAAGGCTTGGTATATATACCCTTTAAAATAATATGCATGCATCATACAGGCATCACAATGTGCGTCACAAAATTCTACTTTTACATGAACTTCAGTAGCATATTTCAAACTCAACACCTATCAATCTTCATTTTGAGCTTCCATATCTGAGGAGGTGCTATTAATGAGGACCATTGCCAGAATGTCTACTAGACCCGATAGCAAGAGCTCCCATCCATCTTGAGATAAGTTCTTCCTGAAGCCTCTCATTAATCTTACAATAAGGTGCCTGGTACCAAAATGGAACCTCTTGAAATATGCCAGGCCTCTAGACATTCCTTTCTTTAGACCCTGGCCTCTAATTTTTGCAGCTTTTAAGAAGCCAAGTGAAGTGAAGGCCATGCATACATTTCTCTTTGTGATTTCATATATTTACTAACACCTATTTCTAATATCGTTTCATCAAATATATATTTTCCAATATATGTATTATGTATGTTCATTAAGCATCTCAGTTTTTTCCTATTAAAAAAAACAGCAGTGTATTTTGAACCCTGCTGTTTTTAAACTCCATATTGTGTCTCAACCCTGCCTTTAAGAACTGTATTACATTTCAATTATCTTTTAATGTTGGCATTAATACTGGTCATTGACCAATATAAACATACGGTGTTCCCTCAGTTATCGCTGGTGTTACGTTTCAGGACCACCAGCGAAAAGTGAAAATCCGCAAAGTAGGGACGCTATGTATTGTCGAAGGCTTTCATGGCCGGAATCACTGGGTTGTTGTAGGTTTTTTTGAGCTATATGGCCATGTTCTGGAGGCTTTCTGTCCTGACTTTTTGCCTGCATCTATGGCAAGTATCCTCAGAGGTTAGTGAGGTCTGTTGGAACTAGGAAATGGGTTTATATATCTGTAGAAACAAGGTTGGGAGACAAGAACTCTTGTCTGTTGGAGCTAGGTGTGAATGTTTCAACAGGCCACCTTGATTTGCATTTGATGGCCTGGCAGTTGTTTGGCATTTTCCTAGTTCCAACAGACCTCGCTACCTCTGAGGATGCTTGCCATAGATGCAGGCGAAATGTCAGGAAAGAATGCCTCTAGAACATGGCCATATAGCCCGAAAAAACCTGAAGGATGCTAAGCAAGGGGCTTTGAATTAAATTAACAGCAAAAGAGAAACATACCCTTTCTCTGCAGAAAAAGAGCAACACGGAAGAAAATGTTTTTAAGAAACAAGATGTGACATGTAGAGGTCGGAAGTTGTATTGTGGTTAAGTTCAAAGGTTGTTTTTTGAAGTGCAGAGTCTGCAGGTACAAGAAGGTACTTTCCATCAGAAGGTCAAGGGAGGGGGCTGGAAAGAGAGTACTTTCCATGACAAAAAAATGTTCTTGTTTACTTGAGGTTATATATTGGTGGTAAAAAGCCAAGAAGAGGCGGCAGTCACTTGAAGGGTAGCATCTGTGTATGCTGTCAGGCTGTCTGTCTTCTTCATGAAGAAACTAAAATAAAACCTTGTTTTTTGATCTTTTTTTGGGGACTGTCTCCTTCCTTTCGTGCTCCCGTGATGTGGACCTAAGAAGACCCAATTTAGGGTCTCTAACAAACCTACAACAACCTAGGGACGCTATATTTATTTTAATATTGATACATTGTTTTAGCAGTTATACACTATTTTAAGTCTTTATAAACTCAAAATAAAGTGAAGGAAAGGAAGAAAAGGCCAAGGCTGGAGGGAGGGAGGACTGAGGAAAGAAAGCGCCTTGGAGAGCAGCGACGGCAAAAACCCGCCAAACAGCAAAATACACAAAATATATTTTAAATTAATATTTTGTGAAAACAGCGAGTCTGCTAATAGCGAACCGCGAAGTAGCGAGGGAACACTGTATATATCTTTCTTTACATATATTAAAAGTGAAAAAGGAGACGGAGGGCCTGATTCTGGCAGCCCAAGAACAAGCCATTAGGAAAGATGCCATCAAAGCCAAAATTGATCCCAAGTGTAGACTCTGCAAGGAAGCAGGCGAAACAATAGATCCCATCCTTAGCTGCTGCAAGAAGATCGTGCAGACAGACTACAAGCAGAGACACAACGCCGTTGCTCAGATGATTCATTGGAACCTGTGCCACAAATACCAAATTCAGGCAGACAGAGTTTTGGAGCACAACACGATCATGGAAAAAAACAAGTATGGATCGTGGATGTTGCAATCCCAGGCAAAAACAGGATCGAGGAGAAACAACTGGAAAAGCTGACACTATACGAGGATTTAAACACCGAACTGCAAAGACTATGGCACAAAGCAGTCAAGGGTTCCCAGTGGTGATGAGCACACTGGGTGCAGTGCCTCAAGACCTTGGCCTGCACTTAAAAACAATCAGCGCTGACGAAATCCCCACCTTTCAGCTGCGAAAGGCCACCCTACTCAGATCTGCACGCATTATTCGCCGATACATCACACAGTCCTAGACACTTGGGAAGTGTCCGACGTGTGATCCAATACAAAAGCCAGGAAAGTGATCTTGTTTGGAGTGTACCAATCTTGTTGTGTATAAAATATATTAGAATCCTTCCCTTAATCCTTCCCTTAGTTAATCCAAGGCCTGTTTTATCTGCAGGTTGCAATGGAGATGGACGGCCTTGCCCAGACTCTCGGAGAAGCCCGGCTCTCCTTGGAGAGGGACGTTGCGGATCTGAATGACCTGCTGGCCAGCCTAGGTGAGTCCAGCCACGTTGGCCATTTCAGTCCCTCAGAGTCAGGCTTAGAATCCTAGCGTTGGAAGAGACCTGGTGGGCCATCCAGTCCAACCCCATTCCGCCAAGAAGTAGGAAAATTGCATTCAAAGCACCTCCGACATATATCCATCCAGCCTCTGTTTCAAAGCCTCAAAGAAGGAGCCTCCTCCACACCTGGAACCATACTGTGTCCATTTCAGGGCACCACAATTGGAGAGAGATGTTGACAAGCTGGAATGTGTCCAGAGGAGGGCGACTAAAATAATCAATGGTCTGGAGAACAAGCCCTATGAGGAGCGGCTTAAAGAGCTGGGCATGTTTAGCCTGAAGAAGAAAAAGGCAGAGAGGAGACATGATGAGGGTCATGGATCAAGATGTGAGGGGACATCATAGGGAGGAGGGAGCAAGCTTATTTTCTGCTGCCCTAGAGATTAGGACGCGGAGCAATGGCTTCAAACTACAGGAAAGGAGATTCCACCTGAACATTAGGAAGAACTTCCTGACTGTGAGAGCTGTTCAGCAGTGGAACTCTCTGCCCCGGAATGTGGTGGAGGCTCCTTCTTTGGAGGCTTTTAAACAGAGGCTGGATGGCCATCTGTCGAGGGTGCTTTGAATGCAATTTTCCTGCTTCTTGGGAGAATTGGGGTTGGACTGAATGGACCGCGAGGTCTCTTCCAACTCCAGGATTCTATGATCTTCAATTTCATTAACTTCTGCACCTGACCATTATAACTTGTACGCCAGCTGCGCCCTTACCTTGGGAAGTCAGACTTGGCCACAGTGGTCCATGCTCTCTAGGATAGACTGTTGCAATGCATTCTATATGGGGTTGCCTTTGAAGACTGCTTGGAAGCTTCAAATAGTCCAATGAGAGGCAACCAGGTTAATAACTGGGGTGGCATACAGGGAGCATACAACTCCCATGTTACGCCAGCTCCACTGGCTGCCGGGGGGGGGGGGGGGTGATTTTGTCATTTGGGAATTGTAGTTGCTGGGATTTATAGTTCACCTACAATTAAAGAGCATTCTGAACCCCACCAAGGATGGAACTGAACCAAACTTGGCACACAGGCCTCCCAAGACCAATAGAAAATACTGAACGGGAATGGTGAGCATTGTCCTTGAGTTTGGGAATTGTAGATCACCTACACCCAGAGAGCACTGTGGACTCAAACAGTAATGGAACTGGACCAAACTTAGCACGAATATCCAAATTTGAACACTGGTGGAATTTGGGGAAAATAGACCTTGACCTTTGGGAGTTGTATTTGCCGGGATTTATAGTTCACCTACAGTTAAAGAGCATTCTGAACCCCACCAAGGATGGAATTGAACCAAACTTGGCACACAGAACTTCCAAGACCAATAGAAAATACTGAACGGGATTGGTGAACATTGTACTTGAGTTTGGGAATTGTAGATCACCTACACCCAGAGAGCACTGTGGACTCAAACAATAATGGAACTGGACCAAACTTGGCACGGATATCCACATTTGAACACTGGTGGAATTTGGGGAAAATAGACCTTGACCTTTGGGAGTTATTATTTATTTATTTATTTATTTATTGTTTATTTACAGCTTTTATATTCCGCCCTTCTCACCCCGCAGGGGACTCAGGGCGGATTACAGTGTACACATATATGGCAAACATTCAATGCCAATTTTTGACATACAAACATATACAGACATACACAGAGGCTGTTTAACTTTTTCTGGCCACCAGGGGAGCTGTCGCTTTCATCGTCCATCTGCGACGCTGATGAAGCACTTCCGCATTCCCCGCCTGCTTCCCCGCTGGAATACTTTGCTGGAGTCTTCTTTATGGCCTCATAAATCAGTTAATTTAGCCTCCCCACACTTTAAGGTGGTACCTTATTTTCCTACTTGACAGATGCAACTGTCTTTCAGGTTGCAAAGGTCGACAACAGGCTACACACAATTGGTTGGAAACCCACTCCAACCCAGGCTGGCTTTGAACTCATGACCTTTTGGTCAGAGTGATCTTAATGCAGCTGACACTCAACCAGCTGCGCCGCAATCCTGGTGCAGTTGTAGTTGCTGGGACTTATAGTTCACCTACAATCAAAGAGCATTCTGAACCCCACCAAGGATGGAATTGAACCAAACTTGGCACACAGAACTCCCAAGACCAATAGAAAATACTGGACGGGATTGGTGAGCATTGTCCTTGAGTTTGGGAATTGTAGTTTACCTACACCCAGACAATAATGGAACTGGACCAAACAATAATGGAACTGGACCAAACTTGGCACGAATATCCAAATTTGAACACTGGTGGAATTTGGGGAAAATATACCTTGACCTTTGGGAGTTGTAGTTGCTGGGATTTATAGTTCACCTACAATCAAAGAGCATTTGAACCCCACCAATGATTGAATTGGGCCAAACTTCCCGCACAGAACCCCCTTGATCAAATATACTGTTTTTGGGTGGTCTTTGGTGACCCCTCTGACACCCCCTTGCGACCCTCCCAGGGTTCCTGACCCCCAGGTTGAGAAACACTGCCATAAGGCTTCCCATGTCTCTCTTGGTGTCTAAGCTATGGTTTTTGAGGTTGGCTTTAAGCCCATCTTTCAATCTCTTTTCCTGTCCACCAACGTTACGTTTCCCGTTCTTGAGTTGGGAGTAGAGCAACTGCTTTGGGAGACAAGAGATCTTTGGGCATTTGGACAGTAGTATTTAATGCATGTGATAAAGTCGTTGGTCAATGCCAGCCCTTTTTCTTCTTCCTGTCCTTTTGCCCAGGCCGTGGGGGGCCCTCGGATGCCACTCTGACCACCGGCTGGACAAAGCTGCAAGGCCTACGTTTGCGCTTGACCTCTCCTGGCCCTTTGGAACGGAAGCTGACCGCTTTGCAGGAGGAGGCCAAAGGGCAGGAGCAGCGGATGGCGGCCCTGGAGAGCGACCTGGAAGAGATCCGAGACGAGAAGCGGAGCTTGGAGGCAATTCTCCAAAGTTTGCCAGATGGATGCGTCACACGGAAGTGACCCGCTTATGTGTTGGGTTTCAATTATCTCTAGTACAAGCCTGGGCAAACTTCGGCCCTCCAGGTGTTTTGGACTTCAACTCCCACAATTCCTAACAGCCGGTGGGAGTTGAAGTCTAAAACACCTGGAGGGCCGAAGTTTGTGGTGTAATGTAAAATAAACCACGTATAGTTCACATTTGATTAGCCCATGCTTTGCCTTACTAGAGAAAGAAAATATGCCAAGCACCTTTTTCCAGAGAAAGAAAATATGCCACGCAGGTGAACAATCTATATAAATAAAAATGTAATGTCTGTATGTGTGATTAACACAACTCAAAAAAACCACTGGACCCATTGACACCAAATTTGGACACAGGACACCTTTCAGGCGAACAAATGACCATCACTCATAAAAACACTGAAAAATACAGCTGAAGAGACTTAAAAAGCCAAAAAAAAAACCCCAAAAATCATTACAACGCATGTGCAAAAGCACATATAAACACAAACACACACATATATACACATATACACACACATTTACACATACAAAGCACATATATACAGACTGAGCAACAGCAAAGCATGGCAGGGGTATCTATATAAATAAAAATGTATCTATATAAATAAAATGTAAAGTTTGTTTGTGGGATTAACATAACACAAAAACCACTGGGCGAATTGACACCAAATTTGGACACAACACACCTCTCAGGCCAAGGAATGACCATCACTCATAAAAACACTGAAAAACACAGCGGAAGAGACTTAAAAAGCCACCCCCCCCAAAAAAAAATCATTACAACACATGTGCAAAAGCACATATATGCACAAACATACACATATATATACACAAATACGCACGCATGCATATATATATATATATATATACACACACACACACACACACACACACACAACACTTATACACAGACTGAGCCACAGCAAAGTGTGGCAGGGGACAGCTAGTATCGATATAAATAAAAATGTAATGTTCGTTTGTGGGATTAACATAACTCAAAAACCACTGGACGAATTCACACCAAATTTGGACACAAGACACCTCTCAGGCCAATGAGTGACCATCACTCATAAAACACTGAAAAACGCAGCAGAAGAGACTTAAAAAGCCAAAAGACAAAAAATACATTACAACGCATGCGCAAAACCACACACACATACACACACACACATACCGTATATTCCAGCATATAAGGCGACTGGGCGTATAAGACGACCCCCAACATTTCCAGTTAAAATATAGAGTTAAGACGACTCCCATGCATAAGACTACACCTGCGTATAAGACGACCCCTGACTTTTGAGAAGATTTTCTTGGGTTTAAAAGTAGTCTTATACGCCAGAATATACTGTATATATATATGCAAACACACATATATACACACACATATACACATAGAAAGCACATATACACAGACTGGGCCACAGCAGCACATGGCAGGGGACGGCTAGTCTATCTAAGTACAAATATAATGTTCGTTTGTGGGATTAACATAACTCAAAAACCACTGGGCAAATTGACCCGAAATTTGGACACAAGACACCTCTCAGGCCAACAAGTGACTATCACTTGTTGCCTTTGCAATTTCTGGGTGTTTTGAGTCCGGGGCAGGGCAAATGCTCAAGCGGCGCATTAGGGATGTCTATGCACAGCTGGACCTAGAGAGCATAGGTAGGTCTTCAGCCACAAGGTTTTTAGCCTCCCACAAAAGGAATATTCATTTAGAGCACTACCTAACTATTCCATTTCCTCTACCCTTAAGAAGAATATATACTAGGGCTAGGTTTGAACAACTCGGTACTATGGTGCAAACCGGGCGCTACTGTAACATCCCAAGAAGTGAGAGATTCTGCGTCTGGGGAGAACAAACAGTGGAAGACATTGAACGTAGAATCATAGAATCAAAGAGTTGGAAGAGACCTCATGGGCCATCCAGTCCAACCCACTGCCAAGAAGCAGGAATGTTGCATTCAAAGCACCCCTGACAGATGGCCATCCAGCCTCTGTTTAAAAGCTTCCAAAGAAGGAGAAGGAGCCTCCACTACACTCCGGGGCAGAGAGTTCCACTGCTCTCACAGTCAGGAAGTTCTTCCTCGTGTTCAGATGGAATCTTCTCTCTCTTAATTGACTGTCCAGCATACACTGAACTGCGAGACAGATATTTACATCCAATATTATCCAACTGCAGGTCCCCCAACAGAAATTATATTCTGACATCCCTCTTGCAAGGGCAGGAAAGATCCAGTATCATCAGAGTAAGCCTTTTTATTCTGAAAGCTATTAAGAAAAGAGCAGATTTCCTGAAAGAAGAACCAGGAAAATAAGATTCTGACTATAAATAGAAGGTCGGCTGCTGTCTTCACCTTGTTGCCTTGTTTTTTACTCGTGTTCTATTTTGAAATGGTCATATGACTGATCAAATAAATAATAATAATAATTATAATAATTATTATTATTATAAGTGACCATCACTCCTAAAAACACTGAAAAACACAGCGGAAGAGACTTAAAAAACCAAAAAACAAAAAATACATTACAATGCATGCGCAAAACCACTTGGGAAGGGTCTGACATAGGATCCAATACAACAGCCAGCAGTGATCTTCTTTGCTATGTGTACTAATCTTGTGTATATATACACATATAAACATACAAACATACACAAAACACATATATACAGAGTGGGCCACAGCAACACGCGGCAGGGGACGGCTAGTAAATAATAATCCTGTTTCTTTGCAAACCGATTTCCCTGCACTCCAGTGCTAGCTAGGATTACAATCCCTGCCTTGTAGTCACCTGGCATCACAGGGGCTTGGAAACTACAATACCAACAAGCCAAAGCTAGGCTGAATCCTCCTCCATTGCATGAATCTCCCATTGCAACCGGTCTGGCCAGTATTCTCGCAGCTCTTTGAATGCAAGGAAGGAGATTTTCCACAATATAAAAAGGGATGCTTTGATGCAAGCCACCAAGACAATGGGGGCAAACACAATGCCCTTCCATTCTTTCCGCACCCTTCTTTACTATCTAAACCAGTGTCATTTGGGAGTTGGAGTTGCTGGGATGTATAGTTCACATACATTTTACAAGTTTTATTATTATTATTATTATTATTATTATTATTATTAAAGTTTGTAGGAAAAAGTTCAGAAAGTCCCACTGAGTCAGTCCAAAGAGCCCTGTAGCGTTGGGATCGATCTCAGTCCTCCGTCCTTGGGAAACTATAACTCCCTCCTGGAGTTGGGGCTAGGCAGCCGGCTCCCCGGAGGTCCTATGGGGTGTCCTCATCAGGTTCCTAGGGGCTTGGAGCCTCTGCAGGATGAAGGGAAGGCAGCGGTAGCAGGGCAGCAAGCAGGAGTTTGACAATCAGCTGTTCCTTTATTTTAAAATAATACTTAAAACCAACTATTATTTCCTGAGCACAGGAGCCATGAATGCAGAAAGCGAGATGGCAGATAGGGTTAGAAATTAGCTAGGAAAAATATGGAATCAAAATGGAGGCGTTCGGTCAACTTGCGGATACGGGGGCCCAAGGGGTTTCCGTATCCACGGTTTGAAGAAACGCGGTTTCGGCCTCCCCGGCACGCCAGGGAGGCATTCCGGGCAGGCCTGCAGTCTCCTGCAGCCCAGAAAAGGTTACTTTCATGCATAGAGATAGTTTCAGTCAGGAAAAGGACACAAAGTATCAGGCTGGAGAGGTTAAAGTTACAATTTGATTTACCTTTATTGGGGGATTGGTTACAAAGTTTGGGCTGGTAAAAGGAGAAGGAGGAGAGAGCATATGGCTGCGAAGAGTCCCTGGTTGAGGCTGCTGCTGGGGCACATTTCATCAGTCTTAGTCCAGCCTGGCATCCTGGAACTGCGGAACTCCCTGCTGCAAATCAGATTAACTTGAAAGCAGGGGCCTGGGACGCGCTCGTCATCAAGCTGATGCCAAGCTGCTTTCTTCCTTTCCTTTTTCCCATTGCTCAGTTTAGAAACCCCTCATGGGCTTCAAGGATTTTTAATTGAGCCTTTCTCTTTAAGTAATGTTTGACCGAAATCTGCATTTCCCCCAAATTAAATGTCCAAGGAAGGGGTTAAGGCAAGGCTTGGCTTGGCTTGGGGCTGCCTCCGCTTTGGCTGCTTTTGGCCGCATTCTTCTTGGTGGGCCTCTTTGCAGCCAAGGAAGGAGGGCGGCGAGGCGGGCGCTTCGCTCATGAATGGCCCCATTGAGAGCCACAACCGGAGGACGGTGTGCACAACCCTAGACAACCCCGAGAAGGAGAAGGAAGAGAAGGAGAAGGAGGAAAACCGAGGAGAGAAGGAAGGAAGCGCTTCCGGGGGCAACCACCTGCCCGTGATGCTCAACCGCGCACACCAAGGTAGGTCAGGGGTTTATTATGGGGTCAAGGGTCATCTTCCCATGATTTGGGGGGGGGGGTCTGTGGCACTCACCCCAAAGATTTGTCCTATAAACCCCCCATTGGAAGGATAGTTGTGAGCTTCTATGGGACTCACTTATGGGACGATTTGTGACTTTGAGGCTGAACTTTGTCCCATTGTTTTGAGGATCTAAGGTTCACCGCAAAGCCTTGCCCTACATACGCCCCATTGAGGGTATCATGTTTGGTTTCTATGGGACTGACTTATGGGATATTTCTGACTTCAAGGCTGACCTTCGTCCCATTGTTTTGGGAATCTAAGGTTGGGGTGAGCCTTAGATTCCCAAAACTATGGGACGAAGGTCAGCCTCAAAGCCAGAAATATCCCATAAGTCAGTCCCTATAAGACTCCCATTGAGAAGATAGTGTTGGGTTTCTGTGGGACTGACTTATGGGGTATTTCTGACTTCAAGGCTGACCTTCGTCCCATTGTTTTGGGAATCTAAGGCTGGGGCGAGCCTTAGATTCCCAAAACAATGGGATGAAGGTCAGCCTCGAAGCCAGAAATATCCCATAAGTCAGTCCCTATAACACTCCCATTGAGAAGAGAGTGTTGGGTTTCTGTGGGACTGACTTATGGGGTATTTCTGGCTTCGAAGCTGACCTTCGTCCCATTGTTTTGGGAATAGAAGGCACTCACCTCAAAGCCTGACCCTATAAGACTCCCACTGAGAGGATAGTGTTGGGTTTCTATTAAGGTCAGCTATGAAGGTCAGCTTCGAGGCTGACCTTCATCCCATTATTTTGAGGATCTAAGGCACTCGCCCCAAAGCCTGGCCCTATATACGCCCCATTGAAAGTATAGTTGTGAGTTTCTATGGGACTGACTTATGGGATGGTTTGTGGCTTCGAGGCTGACCTTTGTCCCATTATTTTGGGGTGTTCGGAGGCACTCCAAAGCCATGCCCTATATGGAACCCATTGAGAGTATCCTGTTTGGTTTGTATGGGACTGATTTATGGGGTGTTTCTGGCTTTGAGGTTGACCTTTGTCCCATTGTTTTCATGAGTTTCCATGGGACTGACTTATGGGGTATTTCTGGCTTTGAGACTAACCTTCGTCCCATTGTTTTGGGAATCTAAGGCTCACCCCAAAGCCTGGGCCTATAAGACCCCCATTGAGAGGGTAGTGTTGGGTTTCTATGGGACTGACTTATGGGATATTTGTGGCCCTGAGGTTGGCCTTTGTTCCATAATTTTGGGGATCTAAGGCTCACCCCAAAGCCTGGCCCTATATACGCCCCATCGAGAGTATTATGGTTGATTTCTATGGGATAGACCTTCGTCCCATTGTTTTGGGGATCTAAGGCTCACCCCAAAGCCTGGCCCTATAAGACCCCCTTTGAGAGGCTAGTGTTTGGTTTTTGTGGGACTGACTTAGGGGTATTTCTGGCTTTGAGGCTGACATTTGTCCCATTGTTTTGGAAATCTAAGGTTCACCCCAAAGCCTTGCCCTGTATACGCCCCATTGAGGGTATTATGGTTGGTTTTTATGGGATAGACCTTCATCCCATTGTTTTGGGGACCTAAGGCTCACCCCAAAGCCTGCCATATATATGCCCCATTGAGAGGATTGAGTTGGGTTTCTATGGGACTGACTTATGGGGTATTTCTGGCTTTGAGGCTGACATTCATCCCATTGTTTTGGGGATCTAAGGCTCACCCCAAAGCCTGGACCTATAAGGTCCCCATTGAGAGGATAGTGTTGGGTTTCTTTTTTGCTGTGTACTAATCTTGTGGTGTGTGTAAAAACAACAACAACAACAACAACAAGCTTACACAATATGCAGATTTAACGATTGAACTGCAAAGGCTCTGGCACAAGCCAGTCAAGGTGGCCCCAGTGGTGATGGGCACACTGGGTGCAGTGCCTAAAGACCATGGCCTGCACTTAAAAACAATAAGCATTGACAAAATCCCCACTTGTCAGCTGCAAAAGGCCACCCTACTGGGATCTGCACACTCTGCACAGTCCTAGACACTCGGGAAGGGGCCAATGTGTGATCCAATACAACAGCCAGCAGCCTCCCTCCAGCCTGGCATGCTCTCCCTTGCCCGCACAAGTTGGCTCTAACACAGCGTTTCTCAACCTGGGGGGTTGCGAGGACATTTCAGAGGGGTCACCCAAGACCACCAGATATCTATCATTGGTGGAGTTCAGAATGCTCTTTGATTGTAGGTGAACTATACATCCCAACAACTACAACTCCCAAATGTCAAGGTATATTTCCCCCAAACTCCACCAGTGTTCACATTTGGGCATATTATTTGTGCCAAGTTTGGTCCAGATCCATAATTGTTTGAATCCATAGTGCTCTCTGGATGTAGGTGCACTACAACTCCCAAACTCAAGACCAATGCCTAGCAAACCCTCCCAGTATTTTCTGTTGGTTGTGGGAGTTCTTTGTAATGGGTTTGGTTCAATTCCATTGTTGGTGGAGTTTGGAATGCTCTTTGATGGTAGGTGAACTATAAATTCCAGCAACTATGACTACCAAATGTCAAGGTCTATTTCCCCCAAACTCCACCAGTGTTCACATTGTTTGAATCCATAGTTTGAATCCTCACATTGTTTGAATCCATAGTGCACTCTGGATGTAGGTGAACTACAACTTCCAAACTCAAGATCAATGCCCAGCAAAACCTCCCAGTATTTTCTGTTGGTTGTGGGAGTTCTGTGTGATGGGTTTGGTTCAATTCCATTGTTGTGGAATTCAGAGTGCACTTCAATTGTAGGTGAACTATAAAACCCAGGAACTACAACTCCCAAATGTCAATGTCTATTTCCCCCATACTCCACCAGTGTTTACATTTGGGCATATTGAGCATTTGCGCCAAGTTTGGTCCAGATCCATCATTGTCTGAGTCCACAGTGCTCTCTGGATGTAGGTGAACTACAACTCCCAAACTCAAGGTCAGCCCCCCCCCCCCCCCTCCAAATCCTTCTAGTGTTTTCTGTTGGTCGTGGGAGTTCTGTGTGCCAGGTTTGGTTCATTTCCATTGTTGGTGGAGTTATGAATGCCCTTTGATTGTAGGTGAACTATAAATCCCAGCAACTGCAACTCCCAAATGGCAAAATCAATCCCCACTTCATCCCCAACAGCATTCAGATTTGTGCCCAATTTGGTCCAGTGAATGAAAACACATCCTGCAGACCAGATATTTACATTATGATTCATAACAGGAGCAAAATGACAGTGTGATGTAGCAACTAAAATAATGTTATGGTTGGGGGTCACCACATTACAAGGAACCGTATTAAGGGGTCGTGGCATTAGGAAGGTTGAGAAACTTGGCTCTAAACCCCAAAAGCTGCCCTATATTGGCAGCAAAGTGAAAATGGCGTTGGCTTCGTAATGGGGCCAAACCATGGCAAGGTTTGCAGCTTCGAAGCTGGCTTTTGCCCGTTGGTTTGGGGGTCTGGGGCCCCATAGTTTGACCTTCACCCCGAAACCTGGCCCTATAAGGATGCAATGGTTTTGGACGTTTATTATCTGGTTTGCATTGTCTCTTTCTTTTCTTTTCAGGAGGGAAAGCCTTTGGGTTGCTCAAAGCCACACAAGGAGAACGGCTGGAAGAAATCAACAAGGTATTTCTATGCAAAGGGGGAAAAGGGGGGGGGGCTTTGTGGCTTGTTTGGGGGTTTTGGATTTGCTTTGGGGGTGTTCTGGGAGTGGCTGTTCCAAAAGCCGCCCCTGGAAGTTCCAACTTGGGTTAAAGGAAGGTCCATTTGGGGTCCAGCTGGGGCCATTTGACACCCCCATGGGGAATGGCCCCATTTGGGGGATCAAATGGGGCCATTCTCACCCCAAAGCCTGGCCACTGATTGCAAAGCTTTTGGGGTTCCTGGCTCTTCCACCCTCCGCACACCTGGGCCAATCACAGGGCTTCCGCGGAGTGCCTGAGCCAATCAGGTAGCTCCTACCGCCTCGACGCTCCAGTGAATCAGAAGGGAGGGAGGCAGGATGAAGGGAGACAATGCATTCTTGAGTGGATTATGGAGTTTTAATGTCCTTAGGCTTATCGAGTCCGGGGATCGGCCTGCCAGAGAAGCCACTTTATTGTCCTGAGATGGGTCTGTGATAAGCATTGATGGCTTAATCCAGGTTTTCCTGTTACAATCAGATAGGGCACAAAGGGGAAACTCTTGTGAATGTCCTTAGTGGAAAGATTTGAAAGAAGGAACGTCTTGGAGGAAAAGAGGACTTTCCTAAGGTCATATTCCCCCCAGTGTTATATGATTAAAAAAAAGTCTGCCAAATGGAAATCCTAATGGTGGCCCAACTCCGAAGTGAAAAGGATTTCCTTTACTATTGTCCATGCAAAGAATGTCTAAATATAAGGGGTTTTTCATGATTGCTGATTGCTTTTTCAGAGGTAGGGCAGCTTCCTTGTAGATTTCCCCCAAGGAGAGAGGAAGGGGGTAAAAGGGTCAGGGCAAAGTCAGAAGCATGAGAGGAAATATATGTGGAAATATAGGAATCACAAGAAAATATCCAGGCATTCCCCCCTCTCTCTCCCAGAGCAATTGATAAACGTTTTCAATTATAGCATATTATGAGTTAATAATCCATTCAGGGGAAATTCATGGGTGGAAACAAGTTCCTGAAGGAAAATGAAGTCCAAAGTATGTGGCAGAAAGTCCAAAGGCACAAGAAAAGAGTCTGGTCATTTCCACTGAGCCAAAAGATGGAGTCCTGCAGCACTGAGATCGAAGCTGGTCCTTGGTCCTTGGAAAACTACAGCTCCTTCCAAGGACTGAAGCCTGGTGACTAGCCTGCTCCCTGAAAGCCTCATGGGGTAACCGCACCAAGTCAGGCAGGGGGCTTCAAAAGGACGAAGAAGCAGCGAGGGCAGCAGCAGCGAGGCTTGGATTTTGACAAGGTTATTCCCCGAGCGTAGAGGCCCAAAATGCAAAAAGCGAGATAGCAGATAGTGTTAGAATTTAGCTGGGAAAAATATGGCACCAAAATGGAGTCGATCCGTCAATTCGCGGATACGGGGCCCCAAGGGGTTTCCGTATCCGTGGTTTGAAAGAACGCAGATTCGACCTCCCTGGGATGCCAGGAAGGCACCCCAGGCAGGCTTGCGGTCTCCTGTGGCCCAGAAAAGGTTATTTTCATGCATTTTGACAGTTTCAGGCAAGAAAGGGACACAAAGTATCAGTCTGGAGAGGTTAAAGTTACAATTTGATTAGCCTTTATTGAGGGATTGGTTACATAGTTTGGGCTGGAAAAGGAGTGAAAGGAGAGAGCACATGGCTGCAAAGAGTCCCTGGCTGAGGCTGCTGCTGGGACACATTTCATCAGTTTTGGCCCAACTTGGCATTCGGGAACTGCGGAACTCCCTGCGGCTGGTCAGATCAGCTTGAAGGCAGGGGTCTGGGATGCCCTCGACGACAACATTAGTTCATGTTTTGCAAAAAAGAAATAAATCAAGAAATCCCACAGTTTGCAAAACAATGGCTGACCAGAATACCAAATTATCATGTGCTCCAGCACTGCATGGAGTGTGAAAACAACAACAACAACGAAAATATAATTATTATAATAATGTTATATGAAGAAGAACTTCCTGACTGTGAGAGCCGTTCAGCAGTGGAACTCTCTGCCCTGGAGTGTGGTGGAGACTCCTTCTTTGGAAGCTTTTAAACAGAGGCTGGATGGCCATCTGTCAGGGGTGCTTTGAATGCAATATTCCTGCTTCTTGGAAGAAAGGGGTTGGACTGGATGGCCCATGAGGTCTCTTCCAACTCTATGATTCTAATGTGGAAATAATAATAATAATAATAATAATAATAATAATAATAATAATAATAAATATTATGTGGATATCAGCTTTCAGGCTGATATGGGTGGGATAGAAATAGCGTAAATAATAATAGTTATTATAATAAATAATGTTATGTTATGTTAATAATAATAATAATAATAATAGGATTTAAAGATCGAACTGCAAAGACTCCCTGCTCAGATCTGAACACATTTATTATAATGTTGATATAATGATAATAGCTATTATAATAAATATTATAATGTGGAAATAATAATAATAATAATAATAAATATTATAATGTGGAAATAATAATAATAATAATAAATATTATAATGTGGATATTATAATAATAATTGTTATTATAATAATTATTGTTATAATGTGGAAATAATAATAGTTATTATAATAATCAAAATATAAGAATGATATAATAATAATAATAATAATATAATATAATGTTATAATAATAATATAATAATAATATAATGTTATAATGTGGAAAATAATAATAATAGTCATTATAATATAATAATATAATAATATAATAAGAATAATGCTAGAATGTGGATATAATAATAGTTATAATAATAATCTATGTATACACATAATAAAAGTTAAAATATATAAAATATATAAAAATAATATGGAAAATAATAATATAAGAATAATGTTTTAATATGTAAGTAATAATAATGTAATGTTATAATCTGGAAAACAACAACAACAACAATGATGGTATAATGTGGATATAATAATAATAATAATAATAATAATAATAATAATAATAATGCATAGCTAAAAACACATCCTCATAATCATAAACATATAAAATACACATATTAGAATGTATTTCTACAAAGTACGTATATTAAAACATGCAGAACAAATATTACATTATAGAGAGCATATAGGACTCTTTGATATAAAAAATGCATGCTACGCATCCCACCAAACTTTAACTCCCAGGATGCCATAGCCATGAGCCAATGCATGCACACACCCATCTGCTGGGCATTGGGGACCGCATTCCTCTCTGCACGAATCACCAACATCTGCTCTCCATTTGGCCCTGGATTGATCCTCTGGGAGACGTAGTTCAGCCCACGCCTATGTGACAAGCCAGGCCTCTACACTTGTAGCTTTAATGCAGTTTGACACCGCTGTGATTGATCCTATGGGACCCTGGGAGTTGTAGTTTGCCACGTCCTTGAGCCTCCCCTACCAAAGAGCGACTAAAACTCCCAGGATTCTATGAAACAACCCAACTGTACGGAGATGCACTCTGAATGTGTGTTGTGGTTTCTCTTTCCTCCCACAGGAATTCCTCTGCGACCCCAAGTTTAGCAATGAAGAGGATTTGGAGAAAAAACTGGCCGTTTTTAAAGGTGGGATCAGAGTCCATAATATTATTTGGAGTTTGGGGAATGGCATCGGCCCTCTTTGCCGCAGCATCACAGCTGAAGCTGAGGCTTCGCATGGGTCCATTAAGATGTTTAAATCTGAATGTCATAATCCTATTGAGGTAGCTCAGGATCCCGTTTGTCTTTTCTGCTGCTGCATCACAGCTGCGGCTCATGCAAAATATATTGCATTTGGGAGGGTGGTCCTATCTATCTATCTATCTATCTATCTATCTATCTATCTATCTCTCAAGGGTTTGGACTGGGTGACCTCTAGGGTCCCTTCCAACTCTAGAACTATCTATCTATCTATCTATCTATCTAGCCATCCATCCATCCATCCATCCATCCATCTATCAATCCATCTATCTATCTATCATCTATCTATCTATCTATCTATCTATCTATCTATCTATTTAGCCATCCATCCATCCAATACAGACTTACTTTATCCATCCATCTATCTATCTATCTATCTATCTATCTATCTATCTATCTATCTATCTATCTAGCCATCCAGCCAGCCATCCACCTTGCCATCCATCCATCCATCCATTCATCCATCCACCCACCAGAGGCGGCCCTAGGTAATTTTCAACGGTAAGCAAACAGTATTTTGGCGCCCCCCCCCCCCCAACCAATCACTGATATATATTTTCTGTTCGTCGTGGGAGTTCTGTGTGCCATATTTGGTTCAGTTCCATCATTGGTGGAGTTCAGAATGCTCTTTGATTGTAGGTGAACTATACATCCCAGTAACTACGCTTGCCGCACTTGCTCCCTTGCCTGGCTTGCTTTGTGTCCGGAGGCGTGCCTGAAGACCCCGGCGTGTGCACCAAAAGTCACCTCTTCTCCTGACTTTCTCCTCAGCCATTGGGACCGAGAGAGAGAGAGAGAGAGAGAGAGAGAGGTGGAGATGCCCACCTTTCCTGAAGGTAGGCGCAAAAACAAAGGAGGGAGCGGAGGTGGGAGATACCTCCAGCCGGAGGGGCGCTCTCTCTCTCTCTCTCTCTTGGTCCCAATGGCTGAAGAGACAGTCAGGAGAAGAGGCGACTTTTGGTGCTCCCGCTGGGGTCTTCAGACATGCCTTCGGACCCGAAGCGGGCCAGGTGCGGCGGCTCCGCCCTTTGGCCCACCCGCAGATTGGGGAGAGGAGAGGAGGCGGGTGGAGTGCCGGGGGATTGGGAAAGGGAGCCGGTCATGGGGAAGGGATAGAACGTGGAGAACGATTGAGCGCTGGCTCTGCTTGCGCACCCGGTGGCCAGGTGGAGCAGGAACGAGAGGGGCTAGGCGAGGCTCAAGGGCCCGGCCCCTTTGGGAAGAGCGCCCGGCAGCGAGGCAAGAAAGCCGAGGCTCCCCCCGGACTGCTAGGGCTGTTGTGAGCTGAGGGGGCGCTCCTCAAGTGGTGGCGAGGGGCATTTACAGAGGCGCCTCTGCGCCCCTGGCAAAAAAAAGTGTTCTGCGACCGCTTACTTCGCGTAATGGACAAGCCACCCCTGCCTGGGGGAAAGATATCACATTCATTCATTCATTAATCCTATCTATCTATCTATCTATCCATCCATCCATCCATCCATCCATCCATCCATCCATCTAGCCATCCATCCATCTATCCATTTATCTGTCTATCCATCCATCAATCCATTTATCCATCCATTCATCTATCTATCTATCTATCTATCTATCTATCTATCTATCTATCTATCTATCTCTTAAGGGGTTGGACTGGGTGACCTCTAGGGTCTCTTCCAACTCTAGGATCCATCTATCTATCTATCTATCTATCTATCTATCTATCTATCTATCTATCCATCCATCCATCCATCCATCCATCCACCTCGCCATCCATCCATCCAGCTATCTATTCATCTATCTCTCCCTCCCTCCCTCCCTCCCTCCATCTAGCTGTCCATCCATCTGCATATCCATCCATCCACCCATTCATCCATTTATCTATCTATCTCTCTATCCATCCATCTAGCCATCCATCCATCTATCCATTTATCTATCTATCCATCCATCAATCCATCCATCCATCCATCCATCCATCCATCCATCCATCCATCTATCTATCTATCTATCTATCTATCTATCTATCTATCTATCTATCCATTCATCTATCTAGCCATCCATCCAAATCTAGCCATCCATCTATCTATCTATCTATCTATCTATCTATCTATCTATCTATCTATCCCTCCCTCCCTCCCTCCCTCCCTCCCTCCCTCCATCCATCCATCCATCCATCCATCCCTCCATCTAGCCATCCATCGATCTGAATATCTATCCATCCATCCATCTAGCCAGCCATCCATCTAGCCATCCATCCATCTATCCATTTATCTGTCTATCCATCCATCTATCCATCCAACAATTTATCTCTCTATCCATCCATCCATCTATCCATCCATCCATCCATCCATCCATCCATCCAGTCATCCATCCATCCGTCTTTCCATCCATCCATGTATCTATCTAACAGTTAAAAGCATACATTCAATCCTTTAACAGCTTAAAAGCATACATTCAATAGGTGTTGCTACAGCCAGACAGGCTGTTGAAGTACTCACGCAATGAGGCTGTGGGGTCTGTGGAGGCATCCCACCCAGGAATTGTAAGGCAGCAGGGCTGAAGAGGTGTTGCTATGGCCCTGCGCAGGTTGCTACATGTGTGTGTGTGTGTGTGTGTGTGTGTCTCCGGGTCTGTAGCGAAGTAATTACCTCACAAACAAAGTTGGAAGGCTTTAATTCAAAAGCATGCAGTAGGGTACGAAACAAAGTTCCAACTGACAGTTTACTATCCTCATGCCTCACCCTGGCCCCTCTCCTGCATTGCTCTTGTTTCAGTGGCAACCCTCTCCCATATTTCAAATATACACAGGGCAGGTCTAAGGCAAGGCCTAATTTCCTGGCTTCACACAAAACCAGGGGATAAGGTCATGACAGTATGTCCAGCAACTGAAATACTAAGGCTGTCCTTTGTGCCAAAGCGGCATTTTTGAGAGAGGAAAGCTGAGCTCGGGTGGCCTTTTGTTCCTTTCGTTCTTATTAAAGGCCAGGCAGGAAAAGGAGCCGAGGGCATTTTTCCTCCCACAGGGGTTTCAAGCACACTTTGTTCAAATGACTGTGGAAACTGGGAGTTGGCATCCCCCAAAAAAGGATGGAGAGAAGAAGTTGGTGCCTAAAAAAACAACAACTATGGTAGTAATAGTAATAAATGTCCTTCTTTTCCAGAGAAATACATGGAGTTCGACTTGAACAACCAAGGTGAAATTGGTGAGTGGGGGCTGAGACCAGGCAGACTCTAACTCCCATTGGCCCTGGCTGACAGGGGGATAATGGAAATTGTATTCCAATGTATATTTTGGCCTCGAAAACATGAAATATGTCCTATTCCTTCCCTCGGTAGACCTGATGTTGGTGAAGCGGATGATGGAGGAGCTGGGCTGCCCGAAGACCCACCTGGAGCTGAAGAAGATGATGGCCGAGATCACGAGAGAGGTCAGACACACCATTGCCTACACCGACTTCGTCAAACTCATGTTGGGAAAACGCTCCGCCGTCCCGAAGCTGTGAGTTGGCACCCTCTACCTATCTCTCTCTCTCTCTCTCCCTCTACACACATACACAGACATCTATCTATCCATCCATCTATCTTTATTCTTTCATGCACTCTACCCATAAATACACACACACACATCCATCTGTCTGTCTGTCTATCTATCTATCCATATCTATCTATCTTTATATGTAGGGGTATATATACTCCTACATATATATACATGGAGCCTACCCCTATATATATTCCATCGCTGAGCCTGGAACCCCAGGTTTTGGCGGTGACCAGGGGAGCATTTTGCCCTGTTAATTGCCTTGAGTCGCCTATGGGCTGAGAAAGGCAGTATACAAATATATATCTATATAAATAGAAATGTAATGTTCGTTTGTGGGATGAACATAACTCAAAAACCACTGGATGAATTGACACCAAATTTGGACACAAGACATCTACTAACCCAAGGAGTGGCCATCACTAAAAAAATGATTTTGTCCTTTGGGAGTTTTAGTCGCTGGGATTTACAGTTCACCTACAATCAAAGAGAATTCTGAACTCCATCAACGATGGAATTGATCCATCTGTCTGTCTGTCTATAGATAGATAATATTATCAGTAATATTACATGTCATATAAATATATAATTATAATATCATATTAATTATTATTAGTATTATATTGCATTACATTATAATATTATAATTATTATATGTATATGCAATATATTATATTACACTACATTATTATCTTTCATGCAGTCTACCCCTAAATATACACATACTCATCTTTCTTTCTTTTTTATTCATGCAGTCTACCTTAGGATGGATAGATAGATAGATGGATAGATGGACGGGCGGATATATATCTATATATATAAATTTGTTAGGGGCATCCAACGAGGAAACAAAACTCAAAAACCCACCAACGAAACTTAACCAAAATTCCCATGCCCATAACACAACCCACAAGGTACAAACATATCTACTCAA